TACATACAAGAGGAAGTGAGGGGAAAGGGAAAAATAATACAAGGGGGAGAAATGAATGACAGTAGAGGGGGTAGAGAGAGAAGAGGGGAGGGGAGGGGAGGGGAGGGGGGATAGTAGAGGATAGAAAAGGCAGCAGAACACAACAGACACTAGTATGGCAATATGTAAATCAATGGATGTGTAACTGATGTAATTCTGCAATCTGTATATGGGGTAAAAATGGGAGTTCATAACCCACTTGAATCAAAGTGTGAAATATGATATATCAAGAAATTTGTAATGTTTTGAACAACCAACAATAAAAAACTAAAAAAATAAATAAATAAAATAAAAGAGAAAACAATAGACTAGAGGAAGAGGATCAAGGAGGAGGGAGGAGTAGGCAAGGGGAAGAACTGTGGGATGAAATCATCCAAGTTATGCTACATGTATGTAAGAACATACCATAATGAATCACATTTTTCTGTATAATTGTAATGTACCAATTAAAAAATAATAAGTAATTAGAGGGAAGACCAGTAGAATAGAGGAAGGGGATCAGGTTGTGGGAGAAAGGAAGGAAAAGGGAAATACTGGGGAATGAAATGTAGCAAATTATGTTATATGCATTTATGAGTATGTCATTAGGAACCCCACTATTGTGTATAACTGTAATAAAAACATAACAAAATTTTATCAAAAAAAAAAAAAATACACAGGACACCAAGGTTCTTCATCCAGGAGGGAGCGTGTGCGTGCTTTATTGCCAAATTTGTTCCCCTTATATATATTTTTAACAGCTGCGGGAAATCACTCAAAAGTGAGGAGGGAAGAGTAATAACTGCGTCCTTGGGTTACCGTCATGTCACCGTCCCCTATCAGGAGGCTTGAACAGGTCAAGATGTTCCCGAGAGACACATATGCTCTAGGCAGATAAACAGGGAACCGCAAGCCCGTGTCAGGGCCTTGTGAGCTGGCCACATTGACATGCATAACAAAGAACTGGGGGTTGAGTCCCCAGGGGCCAGGGCGGGCCTGCTACCAGCAATAATGTGCCTTGTCTTACAGCTGCTGGAAAGGTGTATCAGCATAAGTTGCTGGATGGTATAAGGTCTGTTACAGGTAAGTGAAACACCAGGTCAAATCGAAACTTCCTATGTTTTGAATTTACTTTTTAAAAACCACACACATTTTTAGTAATGACAAATTTGTCAATTAACTTATTTATTTAAATGATTTTTGTCTCATTATTTACTAGTTTAAAATAATCACCTTTGAAGAAATTATTTTTTTATTCTTCATCACTGCATTTCCCTTTTCTTGGTTCTTTTTACTTATAATAACTGTAGAATCCAGTTTGATCTATCTGTAAAAGTATGGAATGTTTCTTATTCTAATTAGGACCCCATTCTTGTGGATGTACATGATGGTGGGATTCATTGTGGTGTATTCATATATGTACATAGGAAAATTATGTAAGATTCATTCCACTGTCTTTTCCTATCCCTCCCTTCATTCTCCTTGATCTAATCTACTGAATTTCTATTCTTCCCCTCCCTGCTATATTGTGAGTTAGCTAATCCATCACTTATTTCAAAACTGTTTTTAGTATAGAATTTTTTTATTTGTTCTTTTTAAGGACACGTGACAGTAGAGTGTATTTAGACATACATACATGGAGTATAATTTATCCTAATTAGGATCCCATTCTTGTGGTTGTACATGATGTAGAGTTTCACTGGTGTGTATTCATATGTGAACATAGGAAAGTTATGTCAATTCATTCTTCTGTCTTTCCTATTCCTATCTCCCTTCCCATCCCTTCATTCCCCTTTGACTAACCCAATGAATTTCTATTATTCTCACACACACATACTTATTGTGTGTTAGTATTCACCTATCAGAGAGAACATTCAGCCTTTGATTTGGGGGATTGCCTTATTTCCCTTAGCATGATAGTCTCCAGTTCTATTCATTTACCAGCAAATGCCATAATTTCATTCTTCTTTATGGCTGAGTAGTATTCCATTGTGTATATGTACCACATTTTCTTGATCTATTCATCTGTTTAGGGCACCTAGGTTGGTTCCATAGCTTAGCTATTGTGAACTGAGCTGCTATAAACATTGATGTGACTATGTCACTATAATATGCTGATTTTAAGTCCTTTGGGTATATGCTGAGGAGTGAGATAACTGGGTCAAATTATGGTTCCATTGCTAGTTTTCTGAGGAATCTCCATACTGCTTTCCAGATTGGTTGCACTAATTTGCAGTCCCACCAGCAGTGTATGAGTGAACCTTTTTCTGAATAGATTACAAAGGCTGTTTCTCATCAGAATTCTCAAGACTTGCCAAACTCTTTAGTTCTTTCTTCATAAAAATGTCTTATGAGAGCTATAGTCAGATCCTCTAGACAAAAAAATGAGAAAACAGGTTCCTTTCTTGATTCCTATGACAGTTCTTATCACTTAAACAACTTTATTGTTCCTTTGATTGTTCATCTTTTAATTAATACATGGACATAACTAGCATTTTCATTTGTCATTATTATTTAATTTTTTTCCATCTTTCTTTTTCCTAAGGATTGAAACTTGATGCTAATAAGCTGAGACCATTCATGAAATATATGGGTTTTAAACCTGAGGAAAAGGAATATGAAGACCTGATGAACAGTCTGCCTATTGATGGTGAGTTGATTCTTCTGTGAAACTCTAGGTTCATATGAGAATTTCTGAGAGTATAGTTGGAGTTGTGCAGAAGTAATAAAGAATTCAACAATTCATGCAGTGGATTTTATTGACTGCTAGTATTCATAGCTCTTAGGAATATAAAAATAAGAAGACAGATTCTCTGACCTCTAGGAATTCATAGTCATGGTCTTAAATACTAACAGGTCAGCATTAAGAACCATGTTGTGTTTTTATTACACTACATATATATTCAGTGAGATTCTGAATAAGGAAAAAGTTAAGTTTTACAGGATTGGAATTAGAGAAAGGCTTATCAGGAGATATACAGAGATTCTGAAAATAAAGAGTTTTTCATGCATATAAAAGCATAATTGTGTGCAAAATCACAGAATATTAGGAGAGCACCAAGTATTTCTTTTCTAGAACATATGCTTCATGTTATAAAGTAGCAGGAAAAAGTCCTAAAAAGGTAGGTTGCTAAGATTGGGAGGACCTTGAACCAGATTATGGAGTTTATCCTGAGCTCTGTAATTTGTGCCTTTCTAAAATATTTTTCCATTTCATCTAAATTGTGTAAGTGTTGGCAAGAAATTGTTCATTGTATTCCTTTATAATCCTCTTAATTTCTGTAGTCAGTGATGATGCTCTCTCTCATCTGTGTCTTTTTATATATATGTAGTTTGTCCATGTTGTTGATCTTTTCAAAGAACCAAAACTGGGCTGCCGATGTAGCTCAGTGGTACAGCACTTCCTCAGCAAGAGCTAAGGCCCTGGCTCAATGCCAGTACTTCAGAAATTAATTAGTTAACTAATTAATTAATTTAAAAAATTAAAAATCAAAGAACATAGATTTTCCTGACTTTTTGTTATCTTATTGATTTCAGCTCTAATCTTTTTGTGAGACAGAGTCTCACTTTGTTTCCCAAGGTGGTCTCAAACTGCTGGGCTCAAGTGATCCTTCCTCCCCAGCCTCCCCAATAGCTGAGACTACAGGCACACACCACCATGTCCATCAGCTCTAATCTATGTTATTTCCTTCTTTCAGATTGCCTTTGGTTTAGTTTGCTCTTCTTTTTCTAGATTTCTTTTTTTTTTAAACCAGGGATTAAACCCATCCCCAGTCCTTTTTTTACTTTTTTTTATTTTGAGACACACTCTCATTAAGTTGTTTCAGGCCTCACAAAGTTGCTGAGGCATCCCAGATTTTTGATATATTGTGTTTTCATTTCATTCAGTTCAAAATACCTTCTACTTTCCTATGTGATTTCTTCTCAATGCATAAGTTTTTTAGAAATGCATTGTTTAATTTACAAATATTTCCGTTTCCCAAACTTCCTTCTGCTATTCAATTTTAATTAATTTCTTTTGAGTCATAGAATATATTTTCTGTTATTTCAGTCATTCAAACTGAATGAGACTTGTTTTGTAGCTTAGTTATGGTCTATCCTGACAAATATTTCAAGGGTGATAATACTGGTCAACTCTTCTTTATCCTTTTGATTTTCTCTTTAGTTGTTCTATGCATTAATTGAGAGTGGGCTATTATAGTTTTCAATTATTGTGCTCAAATTGTCCATTTTTCCCTTCAATTTTAGCCTTTCTACTTGAGGCAGTGGCACATCTAGAGTACTTCTCTTTTGAAAAGTCAAACTGATGACAACGTAGTTGGCAATATTAGAAGCCAAGGCTTAAATTTGGAAGGTATTGACATAATCCAATAAAAGATGATGAAAGCCTAGGAAAGGAAAGTGAACTTAATGATAGATAAGAGTCTGATTTGAGGAATACTTCAGAATTAGAATTCATTTATTAAAATTAAAAAAAAAGCTTAATTTAACTTGGTGGTTGATTATATGTGTTATAAAAAAGAAGAAAAAATAGGTAGGCCTATCTTGACTGGTAAAACATCAGTCATATCACAAACCAAGAGAATCGTTTCAGTTTTAGGCAGGTTGTGTTTGATATATCCATAACACACTGAGTTACAAATATACATGAAAATGGTTAGAAATGAATAATAATTCATCTTATTGGACTGGGTATGGTGGTACATGACTGCAATACCAGTGACTTGGGGGGCTGAGACAAGAGGATTGCAAGTTCAAGGTGCTGCTCAGCAACTTAGCAAAGCCCTTTCTCAAAATAAGAAATAGAAAGGGCTGGGGAAGTAGCTCAGTGGTAAAGCATCCCTGGGTTCAATCCCTAGTAGCGCCAGGAAAAAAATAGCAGTAGTAGTGGTAGTAGTAGTTAATCTTCTTTCCCTTTAACTAGATAAAATTAGCAGTCCACAAATTTAGCAAAGCTTTATCAACTTTAGAGAAGTGTTGAGATTATTAGCAGAACAAAAAAAAAGAAAAATATTTAAATGGTGGTACTATTTGATAAGAAAGACTTGAAACTAAGCAAATAGAATAGGAGGGAAACATTATTAACAGAAGAAAAAATAAAATTTTACCTAAATTCTTAACTACCATAAACAGTAAGTTTAAGATGAAAATAGCAATCCTCAAAGTAATTTGTTTTTAACCTCAATCATATCTATCACATATGAGCATGGCCTCATAACAGTGCATGATAGAAGTATCCAATAAGAAAATTTTCCAAAATAATAAACCTCTTGGGAAAAATAACAACAACTTTGGATTCATGCCACTGATTTCATTGATTACATGGCACAGTGGAAAGAAGCTAGAATTTGATAATCCAAACTTCAATTCTAAATGGAAGTACAAGATTGGTCAGATTAACCCTTCTGGATCTTATTTCCTTTTGGCTAAAAAGAAAATAATAGCTACCTTTCATGGCTTCTCTAAGATCTTAGCATAGGCTTTACCATAAAATAAGCATTTCATAGTAGCTTTCACTGCAGTTAATAATAGCAACCAATATACATCCATCTTAGCACAATGCCCCTTAGCTATGCCTCTGCTATGTTTAGAAGAAAGTAAATTATATCCTATTTTCCATAGGATATTTTTTCTTTATTGTTGAAAATATATAATTTCCCAGTTTTTTTTTTAATCTACCTATAGAAGGACATGATTTTTCTTATCCCATTTTCTAGGTATCTTGAAACGCTACAGTGATTTTGGTTTTAGAAGTATCAACCCTTTCCATGACTGCTACTTTTAAAGTCAATGACCCAATAGGAAATAGTACTAGAGATCTATTCCAGGCTATTCATAAGTCTTCTTGGGCTGGGGTTGTAGCTCCGTGGTGGAACAGTTGCCTAGCATGTGTAAGGCACTGGGTTCTAAGCACCAAATATAAATAAGTAAAATAAAGGTCCATTGACAACTAAAAAAATATTTAAAAAAATAAGTCTCCTGTGAAGCTAACTAAAATATATGAAAATGGATAAGACATCTTCCTATGAGGCATAGATCATCTCTCATGCTGTCTGCCCTAAGTAAAATCTTTCCTATTGGAGCGTTTGCTCTATTTGAGTTGCTTGCCAGCTTTGTAATCAATAAAACAGAGTTCTTCCAGATTAAAAGTAGAGAGGGCTACTTTTCCAGTGTCAGCCTGGCATTCTACTTAGAGTTTACTATCTTTATTAGAATTAAAAAGTGATATTATAAATATGAAATGTCTTTTTAATAACCAAAGCTTTGTCTTTCCACATTTGCCATTTGGAATGAAAACAGGATAGAATTCCAGAACAAATCACAAAAATTTGCTGAATTTTGTGTTTTACTTCAATATGACTTTATTATCTTTTTTTCCACTTCTTTTATCATCTTTATCCATAAATTCTGTCTTGTCTTACAGATAAGGGGAATGTTAATGTGGGTGCAGTAATGGACAAAGGGGATCTTTTTACTGGTGAGTTAGATTTTTACTAACTCATTATTGAGTTCCATATCCCAAGTATAGAACTAAAAAACCAAACTCCTAAGAGCTCTATGTAGTTGGGGCTTATGTAGTTAGGCTTTATATAGCTGGAAGAAAATACATATAAATAAATACAATGAAATGTTAAAAGCCAAAGGAGAAGTGAGGCAAGTGTAAGGCACTGGGTTCTATTCTTAGCACCGCATAGAGGAAGATAGATTAGGAAATAGTTTAATAGAGTGTGTAACACATGAGCAGATCCTTAAAAAGTGAGTCAAGAAAGGGGCAAAATGGCAGAACCAAGGTACCCAGCACTCATCTGCTTCTCCATGGGACAGAACCAAAGTAGCTGATGTGTAACTACATAGGGAGGAGAGTGGAGGAAGATTAGCACTCAACACAACAGCAGAGACTAAAATGTCATGAAATTTAGACACCAGGGATACTGACGTAGCAAGATTGCCCTAGTACCTAGTATCTGATGCCACCACTGGAGAACTCTTCCCTCCAAGGAGGTAAAGGTGAAAGAGAATGTCACAGTTTGATGCAAAAATCTGAACCCCGCAGACAGCTTCAATAAATAAGAGACCTGGATTCTCCTTAGCAGGTTAGTTACAGAGAAGAATCTCATTGCATTTCCCAATGAACTCTCAGAATGCTGCAGCCAAGAACCATCTTCAGAAGGAGCCTATTGTCTGAGACTATACTGCTCTGGGGATCAAAAACTGTGGCATATTCAACTCTCTGGGTCCCTGTGGATACTCTGCTACATTGACTGGACTGGAGAAGTCACCCTAGAGACTGTCCTGGCTTAGGGGAGGGACATGAATCTGCTGAGAGTTCTGTGTGGATAAGGAACACCTAGTGTAATGCAGAGAGCAGTGAAAGACACCACCCTCTGGAATCAGCTAATCAGCCTGCCCTCTAAAGACCCAGAGCAGGACCAGTCATGTGGTTTCACATGTGGGGACAGGGGTGTCCAAGTTAAAGACACAGGATTTAGAGTGGGGAAATGGCAGATTGCCATGGTTCCTGCAATCCTTGCCCCAGCACAAGTTCCCTTGTCTCCCTGCCACCATCCCCCGAGGCATCTAGGAACCCACAGTGGCTTCAGCATTTGCCCTGCCCTGAGGCGCACATTCTGGGGAATATATGCCTGGAACGGCCTTCTGCCCTAATTAGTTTTGGAAAGGGACCTGCTGTGGCCTTGGGATTTGTCCTGCCCCCACACATGAAACCTGGAGGGCTCTGGAGAACATGCCTGGCACAACCGGCATTCCACCCTGACTCATTTGGTAAGTAGGGCCCACCGTGGCTTCTGCATTGGCCCCATCCCTGAGCACATAGCCTAAAAGGCTACAGAGATAACATATAGCAGGTGTGGACCACTTTCCTCCCAGACTCATTTGATAAGAAATGCCTGGTGCTACTCACATACCGCCCTAACTCCTTCAGCAAGAAACCATGTGAGAGCAACTTCAACTAGCTGCAGCCACCAAACACACACACACACACACACACACACCTGATAAATTATTATACTTCTCCAAGAAACAGGATGAAAAATCTCAGGACAACTAAATTGTAGTATCAGCAATTATTGTGTTTTTCCTCTCTGATGCTGCTTTGGGGTGGAGGGTGGGGATACCCAGAAGAGCAGGATCTCAGACTCCCTCTAGTTCTGCCTATCTGGGCACATGTTGACAGCTAGGAGCATGTGACCCTCGTTTTCTTTAATATAAATGTCTGCCAGGGTTCAAGTGAGACTGGACTGGTCCCCTCAGCTGGGCTGGGAGTGTAGCTCAGCAATGGAGTACTTGCCCAACATGCACAAGGCCCCAAGCTTAATCCCTAGCACTGAAGAAAAGATAAAATAAAAATAAAAAATAAGCTTGGCATAGTGGTGCACACCTGTAATCCTGGCAACTCAGGAGGCTGAGGCAGTAAGATCATAAGTTCAAGGTCAGCTTCAGCATTTTAGTAAGACCTTAAGCAACCCTATCTCAAGATAAGAGTTTCTGTCTCAAAATTTTTAAAATTTAGAAGAACTGGAGATGTAACTCAATGGTAGAGCTCCCCTGAGTTCAATCCCCAGTACCACAAAGAAAAAAAAAATAGAAAGAAAGAAAGAAAGAAAAGCAGGCTCAACAAAGGTATTTGGGAATGAAATTGATCAGATTATGTTATGTCCATCTATAAATATGCCGCAGTGAATCCCACTATTATGTATAATTATTATGTACTATTGATAAAATTAATTTAATATGATACATATACATAATGGAATAATAGCCATTAAAAAATGAAGTTCTGTCATTTGCAACAACTTGGATGAAACTATAGAACTTTATGTTAAATGAACTAAACCAAGCACAGAAAGACAAGTACCACACGATCTCACTCATATATGTAATCTAAAAACATTGGTCTCACAATTTGTGAGTGGATGGTAGTGGCTAGAGTCTGGGGAGAGTAGAAGATGGGATGGGAAAAGTTGGTCTATTGGTGCTAAATTGCAGCTAGATGAAGTAAGAAACTCTGGTATGCTATTGTATAAAAGGGCAACTACAGATAATGCTATCAAACTATACACTTCAAAAAGCTAGAAAAAAGTATTTTGAATATTTTTGTTATAAAGAAATAATAAATGTTTGCAGAAATAGATATGTTTAGCCTGACTTAAACATTACATGATGTGTATATGTGTGAAAACATCACATTACCCTATTTTCAATATATACAATTTTCATTTTTTTTATCTATCAGTTAAAAATAAATTTAATTTCTTAAAAAGTTTCCTAGAGGATTATGATGAAGTAAATCATAAACTTTCTTTATTTTTTCTGTTTCTCAAGCTTAAAATTCTGTTGTGCAGACATATTTATAAAGATTGATTTTGGTCTTTGCCATGACTTACTAGAAATCCTGAACTTTTTTCTCTTAAAATTTCTTCTAAAAGCCAGGATGAAGGTATAACTAAATTGTAAAGTATGTGCTTAGCATGTAGGAAGCCCTGGATTCAATCCCAACCACACAAAAAAAGTCATGACAGAATTCCATGGATCAGGATTTAGGGATTCCTAATTGTTCTTCATTCTCTTCATAGTGCTGATGTCTAGGCATAAGCTAGAGGGACCCACTCTTGATATCGTTACAAATATTTCTCATATTTATCCCATTTTTTCCTAAGGGACAAAGGTATCTTCAGGTAAGGCAAAAACTTTCATTAAAAATGCAAGAATTAATCTCAAGAAGAAAGAAATCCTGACACTGAAGGAGCATCTACCAGTTGATGGTGAGAATTTTGAAAATCAATATAACTTTTAGTAAAACTTTGGGAATGAGTCCAATGAATCCAGTGGTAAAGCTAGAATAATTGAAAATAAGGTATACATAAAAAAGAGAAAGAGAGTGAGAGAAAGAAGAAAGGAAAGAGGACTTAAATATAGCTACTAAACTCAGCCTGGTGGCTACCATTTGGAAAGAATCACCAAAAATAATGCCAGTGTGAATGGCAAGTGTTAACTCTCCATGTAACACCACAGGAAATAACAAGGTATAATGAGGATACTTAGAGTATTAATCTTGTTGTTACTACTGTTAATCCAGCAGTAAGTAGCAATAACTAATAATACATACTCCTGGCATATACAAGTACTATACTAAGCACTTTATATACACTAACTTATTTAATCTTGCAAACATTTCTATAAGGTAGGTTCTTTTTTACCTCTCATTTTACCTATAAGGAAATTAAGGCACAGAGAGATCAAGTAGTTTGCCCAAAGTCAGAAAGCTAGTAAGTGATGGAGCCAAGGGAAAAAAAAGCAATCTGGCTTAAGAAACCATTATGCTCTACTTCCATGAGCTGCTGGAATTAACAAATTTAAGTCATTCATAGTAATTTCAGCAATATAATTAATTAAACTTGTCATATTACATGGTCTCATGCTAGTAGAACTGGAAAAATTTCATCAAGAAATTTGGGGTAACACTTTGCCACTAAATATAAGATTAATCCAAGTCAATTAACATGTGCATTTCTAAATCAATAGTACTTTTCATTACATTAACTTTAATGCTTATCATGTATCAGGCATTGACTTTTGCCTTAATAAGAGGTAAACAGTTTTTCCAAAAATGACTTTTTCTTTATTTCTTTAAATCCTTTACATAGCTCTTTTAATCTACCAATATAATTAATGTCCTGTAGATTTTTGTGGTTTTCCTCATATCCTAGTATACTAGAACCTCAACATGACAGTGATTTAAAGTGTGAAACTATTAATATAAATTTAGTGGCATACCTTGTACATCTGTGTAATCACCTGGGATAGAATAGAGGTCCAAAAGGCCTTGGTAGAAATAACTGAAGACACACAAAATTAAGGATGTGATGGCATTTGTTCTTTACAGGCACAGAATTTTATCAAAAAGGATTCTTCCTTATCCTACTTGAAAATTATATTAATAATAATAGAATATGAGACTATAAAAGAATACCAAAAAAGGTAAAAGCATAAAAAAGGAACAAGCAAGGATAAATTTTGCATCTAAGAACCTGGAATACATATTGACTTTAAAGCTAATTCATTCTCTACAATGTTTGCATTTTGCTATTACTTTTATTTAATAAATATTTATGTAGCATCAATCTTGTGCGGCATTAAACTAATGTCTAGGTAATAGTACGATTCTTGATACCTCAGAGTGATTCTTGGTATCTCACTCTCAGAGGAAATTACCATCTTAGGAGAATTACAAATAATATAACAGTATAAATGTGTTTGAACAGTGATTTATTGGCATCCTTAATCAAGTCATAATGAATGAGAAAAGAGGATGTACATTGGCAGTTTAAATGTCTAACCTATTAGAATGGTAGTATGTTTTAACTACTATCTCAACATCCCAAACTACTGTTTCTCCAACTTGCAATTTTACAGAGCATTTTAAATGTACCACTGACCTTCAGTGGCTTCAGACTTTAATTTGAGAAATACTAAGTAAAGAAATTAAGCACCTCATCTATGAAGATATTTTTCATTTGAGAATGGTCACTGCAAAACAAAGTTTTGTCATCATAAATTGACTTTAACTGAATATATCAACATGATTATTATCATGTTCACAATCTAACAATAGCCAGACTATTGTACATATCATATCATATCACATTATATCATATCATATCATAGCAGATCCCTTGGTGCCAATGGGATTAAAAGGCTAAAAGAGGCAATTAGCATTAACAATTAGAAAGGCTGTTTTTACACAAAAATTATAAATTCTGAAAAAGTCTCAAGCCCTGAAAAGACTAACTTAATAGAGAATAGCTTGTCCTGAAGGAAAGAAAAGTGCTTTCAGCTTTGCTCTCGCATTATGCCGTGTGGATTTTGAGCTTACGGGGTAGATAGCAGTAGCTGTATTAAGTTGATGAGGAGCTGATATGAAAAAAATAACAAACTTCTAGGGAAGCATTTTTGAATGATTGAATTTGGGGTTTCTGCTTCACAATTTAAAGATATTATAGTTTTACAAATCTGTGTGATGCTTTTTTATCTTAAAGATAAAGGGAAGACTGATTTAAATGTGTTGATGAATGAAGTTAAAACGATTACAGGTGAGTGGGGTGTTACAGTGAGTATGATATTGTGTGATCTTTGTTTTGTATTGAAATATATCTTAACACAAAAGCATTTCCTCCATTTATTTATTTGACAACTTTTTATTGAAGATTTACTACATGCCAGGCATTATTCTAGGCATTAAGATACATCAGTAAACAGAACAAATAGAACAAAGATCACTGCTTCCATGAAGTTTACATTCTGGCAGGGAAAACAAGCATTAAACAACAAACATTTTACACACACACACACACACACACACACACACACATATATATATATATATATATCAGCAAGTGCTATAATAAAAAGTAGAATAGCATAAAGGAGACTGGGCAAGCAGGACTTGCTAGGGAGACAGGGCCGCTGTGTTTCTAAATAGGAGATCAGGCCTACAGTAGAAACAGAGAAACCATCCAGAGTTTTTAGTATAGCCAATGATGAAGAAGATGGTGACAGAAACCAAGGTAGAAAGCAATGGAGATTATTAAAAGTAGTTTTTTAAATTTTTTTCTGATGAATTAGATGAAAGTACTAGATAAAGGAAAGTCAAGAATGATTCTAAGATTTTGGGGAGCAGGGGTACAGGGGATTGAACCCATAGGTGTTTAATCACTGAGCCACATCCCCATCCCTTTTTTTGTTCATTTTTATTTTGAGACAGGGTCTTGCTAAGTTGCTTAGGCCCTCACTAAGTTTTAGAGGCTGACTTTGAACTTGTGATCCTCCTGCCTCAGCCTCCTGAGTTACTAGGACTACAGGTATGCACCACTGCCCCCAGCTCTAAGATTTTTGATTGTTTTTTGTTTTTGTGTTTGTTTTGTCTAGAACAAAATGGTAACATTAGTCTTACATTAACTGACATGAAAAAAGTTAGCATATAATAACTTATTTAATCTAAGCAGTTGTACAAATTGGGATGGAAGAAAATTAGAAGTTCTGTTTGGGCCATTTTGAGGTCTGATAGATTCCAAATTCAGATTTCAAGTATAAAGTTTCTAGACTAACTCAAATTTAAGATATATAGAGTATAAATATGAAATTTAAAGCCACAGGTATATAAATGGTATTTAAAGTCATGAGATGAAATAAATTCACCCAAGGGAGTATAAGTGGTGAAGAGAAGAGAGATAATAAATGGATCCTGGAGCACTTCAAGATGAAGAGATTCAAAACAAAGGGGACAAGGAGTAGCTGGTGATACAGTAGGATAACCAAGAGAGCTGGGCACAATGGTGCATGCCTGTAATCTCAGCAACCTGAGAGGCTGAAAGAGGAGGATCACAAGTTTGAAGCCAGCCTCTGCAACTCAGCAAGGCCCTCAGCAACTTAGTGAGAACCTGTCTCAAAATAAAATGTAAAAAGGGGGTAGGTGTCGCGACCCCTTGCCCGCAAGGAAGACGCAACTCAGGAATCTTCTTTCAGCAGTTTATTCAGGCCCTTGATATTTCTTCTTCTCTCTCTCGGATGCCCCTCCCAGCCTTAATAAAGCATCTCAAGCCCCAATGCAAAGCTGCCACGTGGAGCTTTCTCATAGGGTGATAAGGGATTACGTGCCAACTCTCCAAAAAAGGAGTTGTTTATCACAGGCCACAGTGGAAGCCGGCGCCATCTTCTAATGGCGGCCACGGTCTATAGGAATGGCTCACCACAGGTAGGGGTGCTGATCCAGGCACAGTGGCACAGGCTATATACCCAGTGACTCAAGAGGCTGAGGCAGGAGGATCACAAGTTCAAAGCCTGCCTCAGCAACTTGGCAAGGCCTAATGAACTTAGCAAGACACTGTCTCAAAAGAAAGGGGAGGGGGGGCAGGGCTGGGAATGTGGCTGTGCCTGTGGCTCAATAGTTAAGTGCCCCTGGGTTCCATCCCATGTATCAAAAGAAAAAGGAAATGAAGAGAATGTGGTATCCTGGAAGCAAAATAAAGGATATTAAATTAGGTTGGGTGAACCCAGAAAACAAACTCTGAAACAAGGATACATATGCAGGTAGTTTGCTTGGGAGGGATATGATGTAAAGAAATTTGACTGGAATAAATTTGAACACGTGGGAGGATAAGATTTAGAAACAGTGTGAATATCTAAAGAATGAGGTGTTATCAAGAGAGAGGCTCTTGCTGGTTGCAGTGGCACTCACCTGTAATCCCAGTGACTAGGGAGGCTGAGGTAGGAGGATTACAAGTTCCCAGTTTCAGCAACTTAGTGAAACCCTGTTTCAATAAAACCAAAAAGGCTGGGGATATAGTTCAGTGATAGAGCATTTGCATAGCATGTCCAAGACCATGGGTTCAATCCTCAGTACCAAAAAAAAAAGCTTTCTTTTAATTAAAGAAATAAAATGGGGGCTGGAGATATAGCTCAGTTGGTAGAGTGCTTATCTTGCATGCATAAGGCCCTGGGTTCAATCCCCAGCACTACAAAAAAAAAAAAAAAAAATATATATATATATATATATATAAAAGTGGTAGTCATGATTTGAAAAGAGGAAAAAAAGATGTTAAGTAGTCATTAAGAGTGGGGAAGTTATAGACTAGCAAAGAATAATGTGGTTGCTCAGTTGCAATAAGGATTCATTTGAAGTTCATTACTGTAATTTAAAGGGAGGACCATCAGCAGAGTTTACTTTGGTTCTAGTTCAGCTAGCACAGGCAAAGGGTAAGAGATTTACATTTAACCTGGGATGGGGTTTTGTCATATATCGAAAGCAAGAACAGAGCGATTTAAATCCAATATTCTGCAAGATTTCAACACAATTACCAATCTTCTTTGCTCACTACTGTTTCTAACTTTCTACTTTCTTTTGGGTTTAGTTTTAGGTTCAGTGCCTCCTCAGTTATTTCAACAAGGGGTCCTTGTCTTAAAACTTTTTTTTATTTTACATGCATCCTTGAATCATAATTTGGCTAAATCTAGACTTATAGACTGTCATTTTACCTTAAAACTCTAAAATCGGATGTTAGCATCAGAAGGAAAGTACAATGAAGCTGATTCCACAAGGTAAAACTGATAAAACAGGCTTCAGCCATAGCTTCTGGAAGAAACTTTACTCTCCCGCCTTTCAAGCTCACATTCTCTAGCACCCTCTATTGTCAGAATTTAAAGGGGCCTGCTGGCAGAGCAGAAATATGGTTTACAGCTGAATTTTGAAAGATATGCTTCCTGCTCTCCCAAAGTTTACTGTGTGACTATATAATATAAATTCACTCAAGATGAAACATATCAGCTTTCATTGTTATTTTTAAAACATGCTGTAATTCAGGCTAAAGAGGAGTAAGGGGAGGGGTTAGAGAAGACCAGAAGAGAAGGAAAAGAAATATTAAAAAGAAGAAAAAATCTATTATAATAGTAAGTTGAATTATTTATATTAGCCATAAAACAGCATTAAAATTACTGAGAAATTTTATAATTCCCTATTTTGCTTATTATATGTTATTTTTTTATAGTTATGAGATTCCCTATTACTTAGGTTGAAAGAAAAATTTCTGACTCCCCTCCTTGACTAAAAAAAGCTAAGCAAGTCTTCATTGCACCTTGTTCTTCCCCCTACAGCTAAGAATGATGAATTTCATATATATGTTTGTATATGTATGTATGTATGTATGTGTTTTAGACAATAATAAAATGTTATATAATTCTATATTCTCACCTAAGACTGTTTCTCTTTTTCTAAAGGAAAGAAGATTCATACTGGGGACCTAAAAAATGTTCTGAAAAAAATGGGAATAGAAATCACAAATAATGAATACAAAAAGCTGCTGAAAACTCTGCCCATTTCTGGTAAGTATGTTACTGTGTTCTATTTCACTAGTATCTAAAAATTTATTTTCATTCAACAAACATTTTTGAAGATCAGTTACAAGTATGGCACTATCCTCAGCTTTGGAAGATCAGGGACCATGTCCATATCTCCAAGTTCCTGGGAAGACTGATTTTAAGGATTTGTACTAGTAATCCTAATATTTGAAACATGTTATGCCAACTTAAAATATTTTTTAAAAGACACAGTCTGGGTTGGGATGTAGCTCAGTGGTAGAGTCCTCTCCTAGCAAGCATGAAGCCCTGGGTTCCACCCCCAGTGTGGCTTGGATAGGGAGACCCAATTTTAGCTAGCATTTCTAAAAAAGTCCTGTTCTTCTCATTTATATTTTGGCTTAGGAAACACGGACCTTGCCAGTCAAAAGTCCTATCATAGGAGAAACAAGTTTTTTAGAAGAAATGAGATGGTAGGACAGAAGTGTAGGAAAGCTGAAGAAAGAAAAAATTAAGCCAAAATAGAGAGGAGAAAACAGGAAAGAAAAAGCTATGCACTATTCACCCTTACTAGGATGCCAGTAACAGTCGTTTTGTATTCTGTCCAATGGACAGATTCATTGCAGTGAGTTCTCTATACATCTTTCATTTCAGTAATAAAGAATTATGATAAATTTCTAAATTTTCCCTTCCTTTAAGTATGAACATTGATTTTTGTAATTCTCCAAAAACCTAATTGTGTTTTATCCTACAGCTGATAAAAAGATTTTTGAGAAAGAATTAATGGAAGGTGTGAAATCCTTCAGAGGTAAGTGAGACAAAGAATAAAGACAATAATGTTCAAGACAGTTTTCAAGGGCTGGGGTGTAGCTCAGTGGTAGTGTGTTTGCCTCGTATGCGTGAGATGCTGGGTTCAATCTCCTGCATCAAAACATAAATAAAGTGTATAAACCAAAGAGTTTTAGTACAGAGTTGTACAACTCTTACCAAAATCAATTTTAGAATTTCATCACCCCAATTTTAGAATTTCATTTAGAAATTCTGTATCCATTAGCAGTTACAATCCATACCTCCTATCCTCCCAGACCCAAGCAACTACAAACTATTTTCTATCCATTTTATCTATTCTGATATATGGATATTTTTTCACTTTATATATTTAATTTTAGCAATCATTTCTTCTATGATATAGAATATAAACATTTTTATGATAGATATACATATACTTCAGATGAGTTAAACAAGGAGAAATCATATACATAAATTCTTCAAACTTTCATATTTAAGACAGATTTAATAAAGACCACCAATGGTTTTCAGTAATTCTTCCTCATTCATCAGAGTTCTCCTTTATGTACAATAACACATGGGAAGTAGTTTTTTGTTACTATAGCAAGTTTCAAATCTTATTTTTTGGACCAGCATAACATGATTTGATTGTCATCTTTGCCTAACTCATCAGAGTAGCCAAACTCTGCTTTTTTCCCTCAATATAAACTCTCAGAAATTTAATTATGAAAGTATATTCCTGACTCCCACATGACTTAAAGTTTCTTTTCACTTTTGTTTCTAGTTAGGGATTGATACCTGCATTTGTCATTGTATCTCATCCTTATCTACTTTTTCTTTTTTTTTTTTTTTTATTAAGGAGGGAAGGTTGGTATCTGTGACCTAAGAAATGTTCTACAAAACACGGGGTTTTCTCTTGAACCCAAAGAAATTAAGGACCTTCAGGCTCACATACCAGTTACTGGTGAGCAATGAATAGTTTACTCTTAAAACAATGAGGAAAGAAATGTTGGGGAGGGAAAAACTGGAAGCAGAGGCACCATTTAAGGGGCTCTTGACAAGGACCTTACCTAGGGAACCTCACTGGTGATATATGGAGAAGACTGATCTGTCGTGGTAAGTTACATGATTATCAAAAACTCATAAAAAATGGGAGGGAAAGGACAGCAGAGAGAGCAAAATGAAAAGAAAATGTCTAGAATATGTCAGTTGAATTGAGGTACTTTGTAGGACATTCAGTATCAGACAATTAAAAATTCATAGCCTAATTATTAAAGTTATTGATCTTTAAGATAAAGCTATCTAAGTAGCAGCAATGCCGGGTCCCTGTGGAGGTGCTCTTAGTGCTGTTTCTCAAGCAGCGGCAGAAGTCACTACAGCGCCAAGACCAGTCCAGTTCATGTTCATTTGTAGAGATCTCTCTCTTCTCACTGGCTATGGGAAATCCAGCGGAAGTGACTGCATCTAATATAGAAAGAAAAGGAACAGTTCCGTAAACTCTTTGTTGGTGGCTTAAACTTTGAAACCACAGAAAAAAGTTTAGCAAAGTACTGTGAGCAATGGTGACCCTTAGAGACTGTGTGGTTATGAGGAATGCTGCAAGCAAAAGATCAAGAGGATCCAGTTTTGTAATTTTCTCATCTGTGGCTGAGGTTGATGCTACTGTGACTGCAAGAGCCCGTTCAATTGATGGGAGAGTTAAATGAGACATAACAAGAGGAATCTGGATAACCAAGGGCTTATGTGACTGTAAAAAAGCTGCTTTTTGTTGGAATTAAAGAAGATATCAAGATATTCCTCTTAGCCACGCTAAAGTCGTGTTTATAATCTATTTTGATGCCAGGATCCTCGAAGAGACACAATGTGGAGCTCCAAAGTCAGAGAAGGATTCATGGTGAAGGTCCAGGACTTGCCCTGGTTTTGTTCAGCTGATGAAGTGTAATATTTGTTTTCTGACTGCAAAATTCAAAATGGGGTTCGAGGTATTCATTTCACATACACCAGAGAAGGCAGACCGAATGACAAGGCTTTTGTTGAACTTGATTCAGAAGATGAAGTCGAATTGGCCCTGAAAAAAGACAGAGAAACTATGGAACACCAATATGTTGAAGTATTCAAGTCAAACAACATTGAAATGAATTGGGTGTTGAAGCATACTACTTGAGTTTGCTACTCAAGTAGTCCTGATATGGCCATTGATGGCTTCATATGGGCTTAGAGGACTCCCCTTTGGCTGTAGTAAGGAAGACATTGTCCAGTTCTCAGGATTGGAAATCGTGCCAAATGGGATAACATTGCTGGAGGACTTCCAGGGAAGAGTATAGAGTAGCCCTTCATGCAATTTGCTTCATAGAAAATAGTGGAAAAGTCTCTAAAGAAACACAAGGAAACAATAGGGCACAGGTATTTCTTAAATATACAAGCTGAAGTTAGAATTTATTATGATCTGCCACGAAAGCTTATGGCCACGCAGCTGCCAAGTCTCTGTGACAGACCTGGGACTGGCAGAGGATATAACAGCATTGGCAGAGGAGCTGGGTTTGAGAGGATGAGGTGTGGTGCTTATGGTAGAGGCTACAGAGGCTACAATGACCATAACAGCTATAATAATGGCTATGGATTTAGGTCAGAGAATGTCTGATCACAGATTTTGGGTTGGTGGCTCTACCTTCCAGAGCACAACAGGACACTGTGTACACCTGTAGAGATTACCTTTCAGAGCTACTGAGAATGACATTTATAATTTTTTTTCACCACTCAACCCTATGAGAGTACACACTGAGATTGGTCCCCATGGCAGAGTAATGGTGAAGCAGATGTCGAGTTTGCTACTCATGAAGATGCTATGGCAACTATGTCAAAAGACAAAGCAAATTTGCAACATAGATATGTATAATTCTTCTTGAATTCTACAGCAGGAGCAAGCAGTGGTGCTTATGGTAGCCAAATGATGGGAGGCATGGGCTTGTCAAACCAGTCCAGTTATGGTGACCCAGCTGAGTGGTGGTTATGGAGACAGCTATGGCAGACAGAGCAGCATGAGTGGGTGGATACGACCAAGTTTTACAGGAAAACAGCAGTGATTTTCAACCAAACATTGCACAGGTAGCCAAGGAACAATGAACAGCAGCTCCTACAGTAGTGGAAGTCATGCATCTAAGGGTGTGAACGGAGTTGGAGAGATGCTTGCTATATGCTAGAGTGTTGACCCTATATTTTCTTCTAAGAGTTGCATAGTTTCTGGTCTAGTCCCTAGGCCTTTAATCCATTTTGAGTTCACCTTTGTATAGAGAAAGAGAAAAGGGTCTAGTTTCATTCTTCTACATATGGATAAACATTTTTCCCAGCACCATTTGTTTAAAAGGCTGTCTTTCTCCCACATATGTTTTTGGCACTTTTGTCAAGATTCAGATGACTCTTTATTTATCTCTGTATTCTATTCTGTACCACTGGTATTTGTGTCTGCTTTTATGCCAGTACCATGCATTTTGTTTTTTACTATAGTTCTGTGAAGACAGGTATTGTGATCTCTCCAGCAGTTCTTTTTTTTTTTTTGGTTCAGAATTGCTTTGGCTATTCTGGGTCTTTTATTTCTCCAAATGAATTTTAGCACTATTTTTTCTAGTTCTGTGAAGAATGTTATTGGCATTTTGATGGGGATTGCATTGAATGTGTACATTGCTTTTGGTAGTGTGGTCATTTTAACAATATTAACTCTGACTGTTCATGAACATGGGAGTAGGGAGCTTTCCATCTTCTTATGTCTTCTTCAGTTTCCTTCTTCAGTGTTCTATAGTTTTCATCATAGAGGTATGTTACCTCCTTGGTTAGATTTATTCCTAGTTTGTTTTGTTTTGTTTTGTTTGAGGCTATCATGAATGGAATTTTTTTCCTGATTTCTTTCTCAGCAGATTCATTATTAGTATATAGGAAACCTATTTATTTTGGGGTGTTTGTTTTGTAACCTGCTACTTTGTTGAATTTGTTTATTAGCTCTAGCAATCTTCTGATGAAGCTTTTTTGGATCTTCTAAGTGTAAGCTCATATCATCTTAAAACAGTGATACTTTGACCCCTTCCTATTTTTATCCCTTTTATTTCTTCTCTTGCCTAATTGCTTTGGCTAGTACTACATTAAGTAGGAGTGATGAGAGTGAACATCCTTGTCTTATTCCAGATTTTAGAGAAAATGCTTTTAGTTTTTCGCCATTCGCTATGATGTTGATTTGGGGTTTTTCATAGATGTCTTTATGATATTGAAGTAGGCTCCTTATATACCTACTTTCTTGGGTGTTTTTTTTTTTTTTTTTTCATGAGTGAATGCTGACTTTTGTTGAACGCTTTTCTGCATCTGTTGAGATGACTAGTTGATTTTTTACCTTAATTCTATTTATGTGATGAATTTACAGATATTTATTTGCATATGTTAAATTACCCTTGCATCTCTGGGATAAATCCAACTTAGTCATGATGTACAATCTTAATTAATGTGTTGTTAAATATGATTTTCCAATATTATATTAAGAATTTTGACATCTAAATATTGGGCAGTAGTTTGTTTTCCTTGCTGTGTCCTTATCTGGTTTTGGTAGAGTGTGATACAGGCTTCATAGAATGAATTTGGAGGTGTTCCATCCTTTTCTATTTTATAGAATAATTTAAGGAGCCTTGGTTCATTGATACAATTCAGCTGCAAATCCATCTGGTCCTAGATCTTTCTTTGTTGGAAGGCTTATTATTACTGCTTTTGTCTCATTACAATTTATTAGTCTGTTTAGGTTTTCTGTGTCCTCTTGATTCAATTTTGGCAGGTTGTGTGGTTCTACAAATGTATCCATTTCTCCTAGGTTTTCCAATGTCTTAGAATATACATTTTCAAAAGAGTCCCAAATGATGCACTGGATTTCTGTAATGTCTGTGGTGATTTCTCCTTTTATCTCTAATTTTATTAATTTGGATCTTCTCTTTCTTTTGAGTAGTTGGTTAAAGCCTTATAAATCTTGTTTATCTTTTCAAAGAACCAAGTCTTCATTGCATTGATTCCTTGATTTTTTTCATTCTTGGTTTCATTGATTTTGGCTCTGATCTTAATTATTTCCTTCTTTCTACCGGTTTTAAAATTGATTTTTTCTTCTTTTTCAAGGGCCTTGAGATGCATTATTCAAGATTGTTTATTTGGAAAAATTCTGATTTTCTTATATAGATACTCATATATAAACTTTCCTCTAGAACTGCCTTCATAGTGTCTAGAGATTCTGGTGTGTTCTATCACTATTCTTGTTTGATTCTAAGAATTTTTAAATTTTTCCCCAAATTTCTTCTATCAACCATTCATCATTGGAAAGTGTATTGCTCAATCTCCATATGATTATGTAGTTTCTGTAGGGTTTTTTGGTATTGACTTTTCTAAATTAATTTCATTATTATTTGATAAGATACAAGAAATTATAACAATTTTTTGTATTTGTTAAGAATTTCTTTGTGAACTAGAATATAATATATTTTGAAGAAGTTTCCATGAGCCACTGAGAAGTGTATTTGGCTCTTGTTGGATGAAATATTCAATAGATGTCATTAATTCTATTTGATTTATAATATTTTTAGACTTAAAGAGTCTTTACTGAGTTTATGTCTGAATGACATATCTATTGGTGAGAGAAGTGTGTTGAAATCACTAGTATTATTATACTGGTGTCTATCTGAGGCTCTAATTTTAACAGTGTCTCTTTTATGTAATTAGTTGCACCCACATTTAGGGCATAAATATTTACTATCATTCCATCTTGTTGAATTGTTCCCTTTACCAGTATGAAGTGACCTTCTTTGTCTCTTTGGATTAATTTTGACTTGAAGTCTGCTTTGTTGGATATGAGAGTAACTACTCCTTGTTTTGAGGGCTCCATTTGCATGATACATAATTTTCTATTATTTCACTTTCATCCTGTGGCTGTTCTTGCCTATAAGATGAGTCTCTTGTAAATAACATATAGTTTTGAGTCTTGTTTTTTTTAAATATTTATTTTTTTAGTTTTACATGGACACAATATCTTTATTTTACATTGATGTGTTGCTGAGGATTGAACCCAGTGCCTCATGCATGCTGTGCGAGCATTCTACCATTGAGCCCCAGCCCCTTGAGTCTTATTTTTTGATCCATTCTGCCAGCCTATGTCTTTTAATTGGAGAGTCTAGATTATTAACATACAATGTTAAAAAAAGAGATGCTATAAAGAGATGCTTATTAATTGCTACCATTTTGATTTATTTCTGATGTTTAATTTGGTCCTGTTTTTCATATAGTTAGCTACTTTTCAAATGAGATTTGTTCATTTGTGATCTCTGGGGTTTGCTTTTATTTCGTCTGTGTGAAGTATTTCTTTAAGTATTTTTTATAGTGCCAGCTTGGTAGTCATAAATTTGTTTAGTTTCTGCTTGCCTTGAAATGTTTTCATTTCTTCTTAGATTTTGAAGGATAGCTTTGATGAATATAGCAATATTGGTGGACAGGTGTTTTCTTTCAGGACTTAGAACACATCATTCCAAGCCCTCTGGCTTTTAAAGTTAGTGCTATGAAATTGAAAATAATTCTGATTGGTTTGCCTCTAAATGTGACCAAACATTTTTCTCTTGAGGCTTTTAAATTCTATTTTTGTTTTGTATGTTAGGCATTTTAATTTTGATATGTGGTGAAGAGGTTCTTTTTTATTCTTGTCTATTTGGGGTTCTAAACACTTCCTGTATCTGATGTCCATTTCACTCTAAAGGCTTAGAAGATTTTCTGTTATTATTTCCCTGAAGTGGTTATCCATTCCAGTAGTCTGCATCTCACAACTCTTTTCAATTCCAATGATTCTTAAATTTGGTCTCTTAATGTTGTTCCAGAGTTGTTGTATATCCTGATCATGGTTATTTATTTTATTCACTTTAATACTGTCTGAATGTTCAAGGCTGATCACATTGTCGTCCAGTTCTGAGATTATAATCATTCTCTTAAATTCATTATTTGATATTTCATCCTCTTCAGTACCTTTGTAATCAGTTGCTGGTGAATTCTGAATTTTATGAAGGATAATGTTACCTTATGGTTTTTTTCACATTTACCGTATTCTGTGTTGACTTTTATGCATCTGTGTGGGCCTTTTTAGGGCACTGCCTTTTCTTGCCAAAGTATCCTAGAGTGATATAGATCAAGACCCCCTCATAGGTGTGATATCCACAGACTTTGTGTTAATTTCATGTTTTTGCTATAGGAGTTATGTCCATGAGTGGGACCCAAGGGCCCACCCTTAGCTATTCCTATTAGGGACCTGGTCATTAGTGTCTTTGTCTCTTCTTTGTATTAAAGCAATAGCTGAAGTTTGAGCATCATTAATTTGTGTGTGGAACAAAAAAGTACACTCTCTTCTTTTGTTTAGAAGCAGTCTCTACCTTGTGAACTTATAATGTCCACATAGCTTCCCAGAACCTCACAGAAAAGAAAAAAACACACAACAGCAACAACCAATGCAAACCAAATGCTGCATTAAAATAAATACCTGGTGCATACTATGACATCTACAACACCACCATAAAAACAGGAATTGTGGAGTCAGCAACTGCCAACATTAAAAATAATACATAACTGTGAACTAGAACTGGCATTAAAGTAAACAGAAGGTGTCAGCTATGTCATCCATAGCACTAATAATTTTTACAATATAAATGGTGGGGACAGGATTTATAAAAACCAAATAGTACCAAAATATGGTAAAAATTCAATTCATTAAGAGAAAAGGAAATGTAATAGGAAGGTAGAAGAGGGGAATGTTCAAAATATGAACAGATTCAAAAGAAATGGAGCAAGTGATGATGATAAAGAAGGAGAAATAATAGGAAAAACAAAGTAAGGGAAAGAGAAGGTGAAGTGGAAGAAAGAAGAGAAAGAGAAACAAACAAAACCAAAACAGACCGAAAGCCAGCCCTCAAAATATAAAGCAAGGAAAAATAACTATTGTTAAAAAAAATGCTAAAAATGAGAAAAACAAAGAAATATGTATATTCTATATATGTCCATGGACCAATCAGTACAGCAAGAACACATCACACACAAAAAAAAAAAAAAAAAAAAAAAAAAAAGAAAAAAGATCCTTAGTGAAAAGTAAAAGAATCATTTTTCACTGAGGTGATCAAAACAGTCAACAAGAATGGATGATCATTGCATATGCCCAACTTTCCTTCTTTCTATTTTTTTCTTGGACTATGTACTGAGAGAAGGAGAGAGAGAGCATGTGTGTGTGGCTCTGTGGTAGAGCATTTGCCCAGCACACGTAAGGCACTGTGTTCCATCCTCAGCATCACATAAAATAAATAAATTAGTAAAACAAAGATATTATGCCCATGTTCAACTAAAAAAAAAGAAAGAAAGAAAGGCTGGGGGTTGTTAACCTCTTCCTGTTCTTGTGTTGCCCACCAAGCTGCCAGTTGGTGTATCCTAAAACTGGAGCTAGTTGAACTAGCTCTTAGCTTCCCTTCTTAATAGTATAAATATGTAATGAGAAGTACTGCAGATTGGAGTTTCATAGACCAGATCAAGGCACTCCCAAGGTAGGGCTGCTGCAGAGTTCTATGAGGGGAGTTCTGGCAATTGGGGCTTAGTTCTAATCAGGCCTGTTTAACAATTTTTTTGGGTGGTATTTGCTCTGGAGAGATTAGATCAACATATTCCTAATGCTAGCAAATGCTGATCTCTGCTGGTAGTCTGAATCTCATGAGTCTTCCAAGAATTCTACTCACAGGGCAGGGGAGCCAAGCATCCACACACTCTGCTGCCCATGAATATAGCCTTTCTGGCTTAGTCCCTGAGTATATTCACACCTCCTGGTTCAGTTTCCCAGCATTCTTCAGCTAGTCAAAGGAAAAGCAAGTTGGGCTCTCTGTTGTTTCCTGACTTGAATCCCCTGGGTATATTCTCAGGTTCTTCTAGGTACACCTGAAGCCACATATTAGGCACTTGCTAGGGAAGTATAGCAATGTTTGCTACAATCTCCTGGGCTCCTGCTGCAGCGTGGCTCCCCAAAGATGGTTTCTGCCTCAACTCTCCACTTGCCAGTTGAGAAACAGAACATTTTCCAAACACCAGTTCACTGTGCACCCTCTGGATCAGCTCATTTCAAGCTGCTTTTCTTTCTTTCTTTTTTATTTTTATTTTTTTAGTTTAACATGGACACAATATCTTTGTTTTATTAATTTATTTATTTAATGTGATGCTGAGGATGGAACACAGTGCCTCACATGTGCAGGGCAAGCACTCTACCACAGAGCCACAACCCCAGCCCCAGGCTGCTTTTCTTATCTACAGGGTTTGCCCTGCCAAATCTGACCCCTGTGTTTCTGTGCTATCCCTCCCCTCTATGGTAAATCCTTGCTGCCACTACCACTCCCAGATGGATCCAATGTACTCTTTTTTTGTTCTTTGTTTAATGCACCCAAGTTTCAGAGTCTCTAAAACACTGTCCAATATTGAATTTTAATGAAATTCCTCTTTCACTCATCTTGCTGAGAAGCAGTACTCCCACTGCTTATATGCTGAGCCATGGAACAACTGCTTTATCAATGATGTTCTTAAGTGACTGACATTATTTTAAGTATTTACAATTATATACAATGAAGAACACAGTGACTGCCAGTACAGCTGATTGTCACTGCCTTGATTCATGCAAAGATGCCAGCAGTTTTACTCACCTTTGCTTTTGCACCATCAGTGCAAATGCCAACACTTTGAAAAAGGCAAAGGGTATTGAGTGGCTTCAGAGATCCATGGACCACACTTTGAGAACCACTACTCTGATATGCCTCAACCTTCTACATGGTGCAAAAGAATTAGGTCTGAAAAGAGAAAGATTGACTATGGAATGGAGCTAACTTCAAACAGGCAAAATCTCACACACCATAATGCTCTAAAGATGTTTAACAGCTAATAACTTATAGAAAAAAAAAGAAGTTATATTAGTTGAATGGATATGTTAATAGAGCTTAAAACTTCTTTTCTACATGTTCCTGTGAATTAATAATAATAATAATAATAATAATTCTAAGGTAAAGCATAAAAATTTCTGTAATTCCATATACCATATTTTAATTTAAGAATTTTGTATCTCACGATCTTCATCTCTGAATCCAAGTTCTGAATTTTCTTACAGAAGATGAAAAGGTTGAGTTAGATGTGTTGATGGATGCAGCAAAACATTTTATGGGTAAGTAAAAATTTATATAAGATATTACAAAATTGAGATGTAAATCTTTATAGAGAATTGCCTTTTGCCAGGCATGGCATGGTGGTGTACATCTGTAATCCCAGTGGCTCAGGAGGCTGAGACAGGAGAATCACAAGTTCAAAGCCAGCCTCAGTTAAAGAGAGGTACTAAACAACTCATTAAGACCCTGTCTCTAAATAAAAAATAAAAAAAATAGGGCTGGGAATGTGGCTCAGTGGTCAAGTGCTCTTGAGTTCAATCTCCAGTACAAAAAAAAACAAAAAACAGAATTGCCTTTTTGTAGCAGTAGGTAACTCCCTCCAGCAATTAGTGTTACAAATTCATTCTACTCTTTTGTCTATTAATTGATAATTTTGTCTTACTAACAACAATTCAGATTATTAAAAATTTAGGATAAGTATGGACACTCTCAAAAGAGAAGTACTAACTTATTCAATATCTGGTTCAGTAGTGTTTGTTTCACTGGTGTTCAAAGAACCAAAATATAGATGAACACAGTAAATTTCAATGTGAAGTTTTTACATCAGGATATTATGGTTATTATGAATAGTTATTCCTTTAATTCAGGCCATGGAGTAATAACAGAGTTGTTACTTTAAGGTAAAATTATGTAAATTCTTTTTTTATACCTTTGTTTTATTTATTTTATGTGGTACTGAGTATCAAGCCCAGTGCCTCACACATGCTAGGCAACTGCTGTACCCCTGAGCTACAACTCTAACCCCTGAATCATGTAAATTCTTTATGCCATCTATCTTAGTTCATTCCTACTACTCTAACATAATGCCACATACTGTATGCCATACACAAAGTATAATCTTATTTGAATTAAAAGAATTCTTTCACATACTGAATTTCAAAATAACTCTATGTAAATGAAGTTGGCTCATGTATTAAACTTAATTCTGAAGTTAAAAATAATGCTGTATTTCATTATATTATTCATAATTTGGAATAACTAAATCCCTTAATATGCTCATCTGAAACATTCCCATCTCTTCAAAGGAAAAAAGGTTGAAACTAGTGACCTAAAAAATGTGCTGGGAAACATGGGAATCCGGATCACTGAAAAAGAACAGTTGAAACTGTTAAAAACTCTGCCCATCTCTAGTGAGTATTTAGCATACCACCCTGATGTTCAGGGAAATGTGATGTTGTGGGCTTCTGGTGAGAACTCTGAGGAATACCCTAAGGGAAAATAATGTAGTACTGGCATTAGAAATGCTGTTCTTGTTATTTTTATTTTAATTTAGAAGTGAGAAACTTCTCTCTTTTGCATTCAACCAGTGACCCCTTCTAAATATTTTCATAGTGACACAGCTAAATATCCCCCATTATGTACCCTGCACCTTCAATCTCTCCCATGCAAAATTTTCTACCTCCCCCAAATCCAACTATATTAAATTTTTTTTTTTTTTTTAAAAAGGTAAACACCTGAGGTCAGAGGGCCTCCAGGCTCATGGGCCTGTCATTATCTGTTCTGATTGGTCACTGACACAACCCGTCAGCCCCTCAAAAGTTCTTCCTCCTGGACACTTGCCTAGGCTCACCCATAAACCCTAGAAGCCAGCCAGTGCTCACCTGTACCTCCTGCTTGATCTCAGGGACCTCCATACAGACATCCTTACCTAGCCCCATAGTTTCTGTCCCCAGTTGTCCCCCAGGTAAGAGCAAACCTGCACATTGCCAAAGGGGCTAGTGACCCTGAAGGCAGAAGTAGCCAACTGGACAGCAAATGTTCCATATCCATTGGAATTCTCCTCGAATAACTTAAGACTATGGCAACTTCATTGTGTCTGACATTGCCCCCAGTTTGATCTCTCAGAGAGCCAGTTGTAAGAATTGCTTCTTTGTTAGTACTTTGGTTCTGAGAAAGCAGGAAGAAGATGAAAACAGACTGTAAGGGAGACTATGGGAGAGAGAGAGATGGCAGGCACTGAGGGCTCCTTCAACACTCCAGACACTCCCACCCCAAAATGGAGACCTCTGGGGAAAGACAGGACACTAGAGGACAGATTGGGCTAGTAGATGACTACCTATTCTCTGTTTCAATTACATTTCACCTCCATTTATAGAGTTTGTTTAGAGGAAGAAAACATTTCTTTAATTTTTATTTAAATATTGTTTTATTACTATTCAAGTTGATAACTGTTTCTAAACCATCTCTGCAATGGGGTTACCTTTTGAGCTAAACATATAAGTACACCTCATGGGCCCACAGTAGAGACAGGGAAAAGAGGAAAAGATGGGGGGTCAAAGTGCAACAAAAGAAGAGAACAAGAAGTCAGCAGGAGAAAAAAACACCCATGTGTGCCTGTTTGTAATACACATCAGCTACTGCCATGTGTTTCAGCAAGGGGCTAGACTGACCATATTGACAGCAGTCCTTATCCTCTATTATTGAGGGTAAAATAGAATAATATTTTGTAGATGATCATATAAAACATCTTACAAAATTGTAGTCTCTTATCCTCCTTTTGACTTGTATTTTATTACATTTTACAGCAGATGGCACAGTGTATATTAAAAGATTACTGGATGGTTTGAAGCCCCTCAAGGGTAAGAATCATGAAAACAGCAGCTACAATGATTGTGCCTTGCTTTTTTTTATTTCTCACTTATTAGAATTATACTATTCTACTATTCTACTACTTTCCTGATTCTGAAAATATGTGTCTTAACCAATCATTCTTCTTTGGGTATAATTATATTTGAGAAAATCATTGTTAGTAGTTTTTAAGTTTTGCTTCCATTTAGGTTGGTTAACTTTATTACAATTCATGAGATTTGTCTAATTTTTCCTTTATCACATCCAGGATCTTCACTTCAATTCAAAGTTATAGCTCAGTGCTGAGGGAGCATTTTCTCAACTCTGACACTGACTTTCTGGGTTCATCTAAGTAGCCAATGTTTTACTCTCCACTTAGGGTGATGCCTCCTCTCAAAGCTAGCATCTTCTTGAATTTACTTGTATTTCTTATATCCTAAGGAAAAAGAGTCCATGTCAGTAAGCTGGAAACACTTCTGGAGAATTTGGAACTCGAGCTTGAGGAAGAGGAATATGAGGACCTACTAAACCATCTGCCAATTGATGGTTAAGTATTTCAGATACCACTGTACCTGGGAGGAATCTTAGGGCTTCCATGGGTGGGCTTCTGAAAGTAAACTTATTTTCCAATCTTCTTGAAAAACTAATGAAATATTTCAAACATACATAAAAGCAATACAAACATCAGGTGCCCAATAGCCAGAGTTAACAAATGCTATCTTTTTGTCATATTTGCTTTATCTATTTTCTCTCCTTCTTCCCTTCCTTCCTTCTTTCTCATGTATACCTTTTTTAATAAGATAAAATTGCAGTGATGACTCAATTAGATCAATTTAGCTGGATAAATTGTCAAAACTAGCATAATTCATTAGGAAGAAAATATTAAGGAATTAGCCTCAAGCTAAGATTTCCTTATTAGAGAGTAGTTGGATTCTAACCCAGAGCCAATTTCCATCAGAGACACAGACAGCATATCTTTCACTAGAACCAGAATAGGCCAATCCAGAATAAATAGTTTTTCTCTCCTAAATCAGGGCCACTACTACCTTCTGGCATCTTTCATGCTAACATAGAAAACAGCTTGTAGTTAAAACTTCACTCTCAGGGATGGGGTTGTATCTCAGTGGCAGAGTGCTGGCCTAGCACCTGTGAGGCAATGGGTTCTATCCTCAACACCACATAAAAATAAATAAATAAAAGCTATTGTGTTCATCTACAACTAAAAATATTTAAAAAAAAAAAAAAAAAAAAAAAAAAAACTTCATTTCCCCTGGGCTTAACAAGACTGTAATTATCCATAATTTTGTCTGGCTCATTTTCCTTAATAAAAAAAAATATATAATATGTATTTTTTATTTATGATATTATCTAAGGAGTCCTCAAATGCTCCCTACTGGAGAAGGTATTGTTGCCAGAAGGTATTTTTAAGAGCCCTTGAATTTTTTTTTGATGACAATATTTTCTTCTTTTCTCTCTCTCTTTCCCTCTTTTTTTTTTTTTTTTTTTTAAGAAGTACTGTATGCTACCACTATGTCCCCAGTCTTTCTTTTATTATATATTTTGAGACAGACTCTTGCTACACTTTTGAGGCTGGTCTTGAACTTGAGATCCTCCTGCCTCAACCTCCCAAATAACTGGGATTACAGATGTACATCACCATGTTTGGCTTAAATGACTTTTTCTTTCTAATCCAACAGTCTATTGTACCACTTGCATTCTTTCATTTGTTTAGCTAGTACAAACTAGCTACAAACTAGCTAAACTAATGCAAAACACTGAACTAAAGTGAAAAATTTCTATCTAGTGGTATAAAGAAAATTAAGGCATGATTCCAAGTCTTAAATAGCTTAAAGTCTTAAGGGGTAGAGATAGGGAACATATGCAAAATTTAAAGAGTGTGACTCATACTGTTATGGTTTAAGGGTTAGCTGCTTATGTAAATAAATGACTTTCAGATTTCAAATTCAATCTTGTCTATTGAAACATGCTCTTCTTATGAGTCTAAAAGAGGAAGAAGCCTATTAAAAGGAACTACTGTTAAACTTCTCTATCTCAAAATGGTATTAGTTAAATGAAAGTTCACTTTAAATTTATATCTTGAGCAGGGCACAATGGTACATGCCTGTAATCCCAGTGATTTAGGAGGCTAAGGAAGGAGGATCATTTGTGGAAGGCCAGCCTCAGCAACTCAGCAAGACCCTCAGCAACTTAGTAAAACCCTGTCTCAAAAAATGGAAAGGACAGGGCATATAGCTCAATGGTAAAGCATCCCTGGGTTGAATCCACAGTAACAAAATTAATAAATTAACATCTTGATTTTTTCTTCCCTCTGTTTCTTGTTTGAGTTAAAAGAGTTACTAGAGAAAATTTTGAAAAACAGCTGAACTGTAACCCTTTACATTACAAATTACATTTTTCATGTCACTTTTCTGAGTCTAAGATTTGGTCTCTGCCTGAATTATATTTTCTTACAGAGAACAAAAGTGTTGGTTTAAAAGTGGTGATGGATGCAGCAAAAACTTTTACAGGTAAGTGAGAAGTTAGGGTTAACTAAGACCTGAATGCTTTATCGGAAAGAACAGGATTTGTAAAAACAGTCATATTCTCTTCAGGCTATTTATGACATGCTAAATTGATTCCTCTAAAATTTAATAGCAAAATGTTTGTTTCATAAACCTATTGTTTGATTTTGGATTTTTTCCTATACAAAGCTATATTATGTAGCATTGTGAATAATAGTATTTCCACATCACTGCTGTTTAAACAAACAAAATATAACTCAGTACTTTCAATATCAAGGTGAAGCTTTTGTAGTATAGTTACTACAAAAAGACCTCATAATTCAGGTGATATGATGGTATTTGACTTGTGTCTGGAATTATATGGACTTTTCTTTCTCTTGACTTTAAAGTATAGACTTTCTTTCTAACTGCACAATCACATGTCCTTTAATCTGTGTAATTTGACAAGTTTTATTGTAAATTTGCTCCTGTAATTAGGGAGAATGTCACATAGGTAATCGTTTTCATAATTTGAAATCATTAGGCTATTGAAAAAAATTCTCCATGTTAACAATTCCTGTCTTTCTAAAGAAGAGAAGGCTGATGTCAGTGATCTGGGCAAAGTGCTGAGGAAAATGGGGCTGATACTCACCAATGAGGAGCAAAAGAAGCTGCTGGAAACTCTGCCCACTAACAGTAAGTATTTAGCACACTCTTTGAAGATAGGCTTTTGGAACTTGGATGTGAAAACTTATGAGTTATGTTATGTGTTTGTCCAGTAAAACCCATTTAGAAAGCACAATTCTTGCACTAGAAGAAATCTTGTTTCCTGTTTTTGTCACTTATATTTTATTGATTGACTGATTGGTTGATTGGCACTGGGAATTGAACCCAAAGACATCTACGCTGAGCTACATCCCCAGTCCTTTTTTTTACATTTTATTTTGAGATAGAGTCCTGCTAAATTGCCAAGGCTAGCCTCAAACTTGATATCCTCCTGAATCGCTGGGACTATAGGCATGCACTATCGTGCTCAGCAGGTGATTTATATTTTAATACTGGAAGCTGGCAACCTCTTTCACTAGTCTCCACTATCAAATACAAATTTTTCTGTAGTCCTGGGGGCATTGCCTAATCTAAGTCATTTACAAGAAGAGGGAAGTCAGGGAAGTAAGAGAAGGAAGGAAAAAGCAAGAAACAGGAAATTAAGACTTTTTAATTTAATCAATGAGTACATTAATAACAGAAAGCGCTTACTTTATCTTTGGTTTAATTCTCACATGAAGGTAAAAAGAGAATGAACTTCCAAACAAATCAGAAAGTTGTTCGGTGTTTTCCCACAAAATTAAGGATGTTGTGTTGTCTTTGTGCAGTCTTTGTTAGTCTTCCCATCACTTAACCTATATTCTGAATAGTGTCTTATCTTACAGGTGGTGGAAAGATATATAAGAATGGATTGCTAAAAGGTGTGAAAGCCCTTACTGGTGAGTGAGCAAGTTTCACCTTACTGGTGAAAGAGCAAGTTTTTTAAAAAAAGAAAACTTCTGCTTAGAAATTTCTTTCAGATGTTCAACTTTGCTTTCTGCACTATTTTCCATTGTTATGACACATAACTTATGAGTCTTCTTTGGGTGCACAGAATTTGGGGATTATAAGTAAAGTATTGCATTACTGTAGGAAATTTTTGACACTGTTTTACTTGTATAGACTGGCTGTTGTTTTAACCAGGAGTTGCCTACTCCTATCTACTCACAATAAACAAACCCAGATCAGTATTAAAGGGGAATGTCCTACTTCTACTTCATATACTAACTTTGTGCAAACAATTATTCCTTTACTTTGAAAATATATTTTAAAATACATGAAAGTGATAACTCTAACCACTTGAAAACTGGTAAAAAGAACTGGGTAAACATCCCCTAACCACTACCAATCTCATCTCTCCCCATGAAGACAGATACCATTAGCAATTCAGTGGTATCTTTCTCAATTTTTTCCCCTATTACTAACAACTGTATCTAAATCTACACACACACACATACACACACACAATTTTTTATGCTTTTTGCTTTATCCTCCAATTAGGATTTTTGATGTATGACCATGATTAGCATTTTTCATTCTTTTTAAAAAATATTCTTTTAGATGTTGATGGACCTTTGTTTTATCCATTTATCCATTTATTTATATATGAGGTGCTGAGAATCGAACCCACATGCTAGGCAAGTGCTCTACCACTGAGCCACACCCCAAACCCCAGTATTTTTCATTCTTAGGCAATGATACTCATGTTCTTATTCCATTCTCTTTCTTCCTAAGGCCCACGAGTCAAAATCAAAAAAGTGGAATCTCTTTTGGAAAACATGGGAATTAAAATCAAAGATGAAGAACTTTGGGAACTAATGACTGAACTATCAACTGATGGTGAGTATTACGGACATCAATTTGCTCTTCACAGAAACATTAGCTCTCCTATTAGAACAGGTGAAAGAAAACTTTTTAGTATTACAAGGAAATAAATGAAAATAGGAAGACTTACTCCTGAGTCATGAAAAACACCATCTTTAAAAATGCCTTTAAAAATGGAAGTCTGGGATGCTATTTGCAGGACTCAGCCATGCCTGAAAGTGCTGCATACCTAAGGAACTAAGAGAATAAATTGAAGTGGTTCTGGGGTTGTGGCTTAGTGGTACAACACTCACCTAGCATGTGTGAGGCACTGGGTTCAATCCCCAGCACCATATAAAAATAAATAAACAAAATAAAGGTATCATGTCCATCTACAACTAAAAATTTTTTAAAAGAATGAATTGAAGGGAAATTTAAGAGAAAAATTAAGGGAGTCAAAAGTCAGATGATGAACTAGGAGAGAAGGGTTGCAAGAAAAAGACCTAATATCCCTAATGTAGAAAAAGGTTTTGCATATTGGTAAGAAACAGAATATGAAATAGGCAAATATGCAAATAGGTGACTGTAGAAAAGGAAATGTAATGTAAATGCCCAATAACATATGAAAAGATGTTTAATTTCACCAATAATCATGAAAATATAAAATACAAATAAAACATGATTCAGAACTATTTTCACTCCTTGAACTAGCAAAAATTAATAAGCCTGACAATATCTAGTTCTTGTGAGGGTATCTAGTTTGAGTAAGTATTTCCATTGTTATACATCTTTTTATAAAAGTTGTTTTGTAGAGCTGGGGTTGTGGCTCAGCAGTAGAGCAATCGCCTTGCATGTGCGAGACCTAGGTTCAATCCTCAGCACCACATAAAAATAAATAAGTGAAATAAAGGTATTGTGTCCAACTACAACTAAAAAATAAATATTAAAAAAAAAGTTTTGTTTTGTAGGCAGGTACAAATATGTAACAATAAATCTCATCAATATGAATGACTATGATGCACCAATAAAAAGTGGCATGGGGGGGTCATCTTGCAGTAAATAGGGAGAAAAAAGATCTTCCCTTTTTTCAAGTGAATCCACTACATCCCTTATCTGTAGCATATAGTATTTCTTTGTGCTGAATCACCATCCATGTTCTGCCACAAACTTGCTGACAAATAATTCAACCCTACTTAATCTTACTTCCTTCATACATAAAAAGGGGAGTTGAACTTAATGGTTCTCTTCTTAATGGTCACTTCTTGCCTCTGAAAATAATATAGATAATACATGTAAAGCGCCCACTGTAGTCCAGAATACTCAGTAAATGTTAGTGATGATGAGAAAGATATAAAAGATATTGAAGAACAGAGAAAGAAGAAAAGGAAATTCCATGATCTATGAACAAATTTTGCCTACAATGAAAATATAAGTCCTAACAGAGATAAATGTTTATTAATTATAACTTTTTATAAATAAGACAAGACACAATTTAGGACATTTTACAAGAAACATAGCACTAAGGGCTTAGTGGCACACACTTGTAATCCCAGCAGCTCAGAAAGCTGAGACAGTAGGATCACAGTTTCAAGACCAGCCTCAGCAGCTTAACAAGGCTTAACAAGAACTTAGTGAGATCCTGTCTCAAAATAAAAAACAAAAAGGGCCGGGGATATAGCTGAGTGGAAATTGTCCCTGGATTAAATCCTCCTGTTCTTTCTCTCAGAAATTTCAGTACCTTCCATATACATATGGGGTTTTCAACTTTACTGTTCCAGGGACCCCTATGAAAATCTAATGAATAAAACACTTGAGTATAATGTTTCAAAATGCATAAAATAAAATACATAAGATTATAAAAAACATATTAAAATACAGTTTATCAAACATTTAAAATATAATTGTTAGCACTTGTTAAAACACTTAACAAGTTCTAGTTGCAGGTCAAATAATTCTTAGAATCTTAAAGTATTGATGAATATAAACATCATTTCAACATATTTGCAATAATGATACTACAATATGAAAGTGTCAGTGGTTTACATTAGTATCAAAGTACAGGTTCTGCTACTACTACCATGGCTTGATGTCTAAATTAATAATTGAAGAAAATGATGCTAAATTCAAGTTCAGAATTAATGAAAATAAAGATGGATTTTTTTCCCATTCAAGTTCAAGGACTTCCAGAATTCCCTCAAAATAGAGTACATGGATCCCAGGTTAAGAACTAATGTAGATCATCTATACTTCCTATTACTTACTGTTAAGTCCGGTGGCGGTGTCTTAGAACAAAGAAGCCAGGGGAAGGAAAGTAACATCAATCAGGCCCTGTCAGAAACACCTGTCAATCAGCAGGATCTCCTAACTAATGCCTGTCAATCAGCAGGAGCCCCTGGCCAATCCTGGAGTTCAGCCAGCTCCCCTGACCAACTCCAGCAGGATAAGGGACCCTAAAAATCCCCTTTACTGTCCCAAGCCCTTCCCTTCCTGCCGTGAGCCCCATAAAATCCCAGTCCGGTGGAGCTCCCACGCCGTTTCTTCTCAGACCCTTCTCCTGTCCACTCTGTGGGTCTAATCGAGTTCCGCCTGGGAGTGATACCTCAATAAAGCCTCGTTCAGAGGCCTTTTTAAATCTGCCTCCTTTGGTTGCTACCAGCCTCGCCTGATCTGACACTTACCTCTTTAATTTCAATCATCTTTTTCTCCCTTTTATCTTTAACTTCCACTCGTATGGTAATGACCTAGACCTTGTCCTCACCTATTACTTTATCACTTCCAAAATCTCTTTTACATACCCACTCTCTACATCCTCCCAGTTCACTTCCTGTGCAGACATTTCTACCATAAAACGATAGCAACTCCTAAAAACCTCTCATTCTATAAATCTCTCCACTGAAATAATTAAGCTTATGGGGGAAATTCTGTAACCACATTCAAAAGTTTATGCCACACGGTAACCATAGCACTAACAAAAGTAGCAATTGATATTCTCTGAGGAAGTTTGAACAGCACAAGCAAATAGCTCAGAATGGCAATTTAAAAATGCATGTAGCTGGGTGCAGTGGTACACACCTGTAATCCAGTGATTTGGGAGGCTGAGGTAGGAAGATTGAAGGTTCAAGGTGGCTTCAGCAATTTAGTGAGATCCTATCTCAAAAATAAAAAATAAAAAAAGTCTGGAGATGTACCTCATTGATCAAGCACCTCTGAGTTGAATCCCTGCTGAGAGCCACGGCTGAGTCTGTATGGCCCCTGGCATTTTGCCAACAGTATTGATTGACAGGCGAGGCATTACTATCCGCCTCTGCCGCAACTTTTGAGTTCTCGCACTATTTTGGAGTTCTCGTGGGGATTTCCGGGGATTCCCCGAGAGTTCCCATTGGTTGGGGAAGTGCAGGAGGAGGTATTTCCGGGAGAGATTTTCCGGCTGGGGGTTCCTGGACAAGCCTCGTGGCGCGTTCGGGAGGATTCCCCGGGAGTTGTGTGAAGTGTTTTCCTGCAGTTTAAAAATAAAGTTTGTTCCTGCTTCAGTGGCTCGTGATTTGTGCCCAGCCAGACTGCGGCAAATCCCTAATACCCCCAAAAAAGTTTGTATAAACATATACACCCTAAAAAAATGTTGAAACACTTGCTTACCACTCTTAGATAATGTAGATGAAGCAGAACTCATCCAAGTGAACCTGGTTCCCCAACACCTACATCACTGGCACTTATTTTTTTTTTGTTTGTTTATTTTATTAAAATAAAATAGTCTTGACTCCTGCTGTGGCCAACCCAGGATTTTTTTTCTTGCTGAAGTTTATAATCCTACTTCTCTTAATTAGGAAAAATTATGAATGAATCCACACACTTTCCACATTACTATGACACTGTTCCATTTACCTATTGAATATGATACCACTGGTGCTAATGAAATGTACTACAGCAGAACAGAGGACAGAACACCAACCTCAGCTTCTCTCCAGCCACTATGACCCATTGTTCAACAACCCTTCACCACCATGTCTTCATTGCCTTTCTTCCTCAAATTAGATTCCATGCTTAACATCATATAACTTCACAAACTCTCAAAACTCTTTTCAAACTTGCTTGGCAAAACCCCAGCAATCTCCTTATTCTGTGCTTACCCTTGAACAGGTTAACATTGCTAGAGAAAATTTTAAAACCATGCTGATAGAACTCACTTTAGGCTGGGCATGGTGGCACACACCTGTAATCCCTGCATCCTGGGAGGCTGAGGCGGGAAGATCGCAAAGCCAGCCTCCGCAAATTAGCAAGGCCCTAAGCAACTTAGTGAGACCCTGTCTCAAAATAAAAAATAAAAAGGGTTGGGATGTGGCTCAGTGGTTAAGCACCTCTGGGTTCAATCCCTTGTACCAAAAATAAATAAATAAAATAAAATAACCACTTCATATAATGGCCACAGATTTCAAGCCAGCCCTTAACATTGCCAAGGGATATACTACTAAATGTTCTAAATAAATTCACTTTCTTACTCTCAGAGACAGCCCTACACCTTTTCTGTTCAAATTTCCAATAACTCCTCACCTCCACTTTCAGACTTCATAGAAAAACTAGATACAGTTAGGTGAAAATTTCCTCATTCTTCTACCTCCGTTTCTGTGAGCCTTCCTGTATCCCTGCCCACACACCCCGCCTTTTGTCTTGCTATAAAAGGAAAAGATTTACTGTTCCCATGTGGGTCAACCTTTCTACTTGTGCTCTAGAACCCATTCCTCTTGTCTTCTCAAAGACTTATACTAGTAGAATATTCTCCCTTTCTCTCCAGCATCATTGATTTCTCCCCCTCTGCTGTAGCTCTCTAGATATTTCCATTGACATGCAGATATGCTTTTCTATCACACTTGCTCCCTATCAGCCATTACTCCTCTTAGTTCCTGTCTGCAAGAGAGTTGTTTTTAAAAAGCTGCCATTACTCACTGTCTCCACTTCCTCACCTTCCACTCTTCAGCACGTTCTAATCAGGTTTTCATCCCCACCACACCACTGAACCAGCTCTCAAAAAGGTCACCAAAGATGAGCTGGGGTTGTGACTCAGGGGTAGAGTGCTCATCTGGCATGCATGAGGCACTGGGTTTGATCCTAAGCATCACATTAAAATAAAATAAAGATATTGTATCCACCTAAAAATAAAAAAAAAGATCACCGATGACCTACCTGATTCTTGACAAGATTCATAATTGACTGCCTGTTCTTATTTCATCTGACATCTTGGCAGCAGTTGACTTAAGTGGCTACCCTCTCTTTACTAAAACATTTTTTTCTTTGTACCTTCAAAGTCTATATTCACCTGGCTTTCTTTTTCCCTTACTAACAGCTTCTTCTCCATTTTCTGATTCTTCCTCCCCTACAAGATCTCTAAATAATTAAATACCCCAGGAATCAATCCATGGCTGCCTTTTTTTTTTTTCTTTGTATGACTTTTAAAAAGCATCTTACTTTATTTTCCAGATGTTAAAAGGATAAGCAAGTGTTGCTTTGTGTGCTTTAAATAAAATTTAACAAATGGCATGGGGATTTTTTTTGTTCTTTTTAGTTATACATGACAGTAGAGTATATTTTGACATGTTTATACAGACATGGAATACATTTCATTCTAATTAGGATCCCAGTCTTGTGATTGTACATGATGTGGAGATTCACTGTGGTATATTCATATATGTGCATAGAAAAGTTATGTCAGATTCATTCTACTGTCTTTTTTATTCCTGTTCTCTGTCCCTTCCCTTCATTCCCTTTATCTAATGAAATTCTCTTCTTCCCTTCCACCACCCTTATTATGTGTTAGCATCCACATATCAAAGAGAACATTTGACCTTTGGTTTTATGGAATTGGCTTATTTCACTTAGCATAAGTCTCCAACTCCATCCATTTACCGGCAGAAGTCATAAAGTCATTCTTTTTATGGTTGAATAATATTCCATTGTGTATAAATACTGCATTTTCTTTATCCATTCATCTGTTGAAGGACACCTAGGTTGGTTCCATAGCTTAGCTATTGTGATTTGAGCAGCTATAAACATTGATGTGGCTGGGTCACCATAGTATGCTGATTTTAAGTCCTTTGGGTATACCAAGGAGTGGGTTAACTGGGTCAAATAGTGGTTCCATTCCAAATTTTCTAAAGAATCTCCATAGAGCTTTCCAGAGTAGTCCCACTGTATAAGTGTGCTCTTTTCCCCACATCCGCGCCAACATTTATTGTTACATGTATTCTTGATTGTTGTCATTCTGACTAGAGTGAAAAGGAATCTCAGTGTAGTTTTAATTTGTATTTTTCTAATTGATACAGATGTTGAACATTTTTTCATACATTTGTGGCCCATTTGTATTTCGACTGTTAAGTGTCTGTTTAGGTCCTTTGCCCATTTATTGATTGGGTTATTTGTGGGGTTTTTTTTTTTTTTGGGGGGGGGGGTTGTTGTTGTTGTTGTTTTTGTGTGTGTGTGTGTGTTAAATTTTTTTGAGTTATTTATATATCCTGGAGATTAATGCTCTATCTGGGGTACAGGTGGCAAAGATTTTCTCCCATTCTATAGGCTCTCTCTTCACATTCTTGTTTCCTTTGCTGAAAAGAAGCTTTTTAGTCTGATATCCTCCCATTTATTGATTCTTGATTTTACTTCTTTTGCTTTAGAAGTCTTGTTGAGGAAGTCACTTCCTAAGCCAACATGATGAAGTTTTGTGCCTACATTTTCTTCTAGTAGTTGCCTAGGTCTTTGATCTACTCTGAGTTTAGTGCAGGGTGAGAGATAGGGGTTCAGTTTCATTCTGCTACATATGGATTTCCAATTTTCCCAAACCCATTTGTTGAAAAGGCTATCTTTTCTCCAGTGTGTGTTTATGGCATCTTTGTCTACCCTCTTCCTAGAAGATTGCATCCAGTCCTCTTGGGCCAGATAACTTTTCCAAACTAATCAAGTAAATATATTTCTCTAGCTCAATCTCCCTAAGCCAGGAATGGCATATCAAACTAGCTATTTGGTATTTCCCCCTTGGATTTCTAAAAGGTACCACCTATTCAATTGCATTTACAATTCCCCAGGAAAGTCTCAAACCCTACCTAGTGCAGTAAAGGCATGCATTCATCCTGTTGTTTAGTGAATAGGGGGAGAGTTTCATTCTTGAGTTCTTTTTCCTGTATATCCCACATTCAAATCTAGACCCTACCTGAAAAACATACCCTGAATCTATCTCCACTGCTGAAACCATAGCTTAAGCCACCTTCCTCTCCTTCCTGGGTTCAACCCCTCATACTGCAAGATTATTTTCCTGAAATAATCTTCTCAATCTCTCTCCATTTCCCCAGTTTCCTAATCCTATACACAAAAGCCAGAGTGATAACTTTTGACAGTTGAATCAGGTCAAGTTACTCCCCTTCTTCAAGGCATCCAATGACATTTCATTGCAACTGGAAAAAAATCAAACTTTGAATCTTAAAAATCAAACTTTAGGCTGAGTGCAGTGGCATACATTGTAATCCCAGTTTATGGGGAGGCTGAGGCAGGAGAATCAAGGCCAGCCCAGGCAACTTAGCAAGAACTGCTTGATTTGGCCCCTTTCACACAGGCCTTCTTTCTGATTCTTCATCATGTCAAATTCATTCCCATCTTAGGATATTGCACATACTCTTCTTGGAATATTCTTCCCATCATTCAGGCCTCAATCCAAATGGACTCTTCTCAGAGAGGCCATCCCTGATCTGTCCATTTGATACAATCCTATCTTTTATTATTCTTTATTACATTTTATTTTATTTTGCAGTATTGGGATTGAACTTAGAACAACTCTACCACTGAATACCTCCCCGGTTCCTTTTCTTTCTTTTCTTTTTTTTTTTTTTTTTAGACAGAGTTTTACTAACAGGCTGGCCTCAAACTTGTGATCATCCTGCCTCAGTCTCCTGAGTAGCTGGGATTATAGGTGTATGCCTAGCACCTATTTTATACCATTTTAACAGAGCCTCAAATTGTATTCTTTTTTTTAAACATTTTGTTTTTTGCTTTCCTCACTAGATTGTACATTCCCTGAAAACAAGAATTTGGTCAACTTACTTATTTTTGTACCTTCAAGGCCTAACAAAGTGCAAAGAGCACATGGAAGCAACATAGAAGGTGCTCCATAAATATGAAATAAAAATATGTAGGGTCAGGCTTATTTACCCTGTCTCCTTTCGTTTAACATAATCAATCACTTGTTTTAAACAATTCTGATGGTCTCTAAATAAAGAAAAAAGGAAGATACAATAATGATTCATATATATGAGGATATAGCTTAATGGTAGAGCATTTGCCTAGCAAGTGTGAGGCCCTGGGTTCAACCCCTCATACTGCAAGATGATGATGATGATTCATTATAGACTAAAAGAATTTTTTTCTAAGATAACAGTATCCCTGAGGATAGGCCCATAAAATTCTGAGGAAAATTACAAAAAAGATCAATGAATTCTTCTGATCTTTGTAATTTTAGAACTTAAAACAGTTCAAATTTTGTGAGTTTCAGTAAAATCGGCTTATCTGAGTCTTAAGGATATATTTCCCTTGCTTTACAGATAATGGAACAGTTGATCTGAATGATCTGATGGATACAGTCAGTTATGTCAAGGGTGAGTTTCCAGCTATGATAGAAAAAAATCTTATAAATAGCATCTTAATACTTTGCAATTAATAGTAGAAAAAAATATTTCCCATAACCTTTCGTATAACTTATGTTCCATTTTTGTGGGATGCTGTTGAACTGAGAAAACAATCACAAATTTATATTTATATATTGATGTCCATGATATTCTCTGAAATTTTCTCCAAAGACTTCAATGTCAAGAACCACAAAACTTCTTGTACCCTTTTCCCCACTAGAAATTCATCCTATGGAATTAATTTTACTGAGTAAAAGAAAAAAATTCTGCCCAAAGACTTTCATTCTCATATTAGTAAGAAAACTGAAAAAGGTTAGAAATATCTAACCATATGGAAATTACTACATAAGCCATGGTATTCGGTTTAATGGGGCAGAATGTGTTGAAATACCAACTGTGAAAATTATGTGGCAGCCTGGAAACATGTTTATAAAGGAATAGTTTTAGGTTGGAAAAGCAAAATACAAAATTGTACACATATTAAAATTTCACATTACAAAAGTACAATCTTATTTTCAAGACCAGAATGGGGTATGAACAACTAAAAAAAATTATGATAGGGTAGTAGAATTATACTTTCCCCTTTTACATTATTATATTTTCTTTATTGTTATTACATTATTTATATAATACATGAGAAAATAATGCATTCTGATTGTATTGAGATTAATAAAATTCCTGGAATACATAGTGACCAGAGAAGCAAACTATAGGCAAATATAGTTTTAAATAAATAAAATTTAAATTTTCAAAATGGATATGAATTGCTGGGTACAGTGGCACATACCTGTAGTATGGGAGGGTGAGGCAAGAGAATCACAAGTTTAAGGCCAGTTTGACAACAAAGGCAACATAGGTAACATGGGCCATACCGGGAGACTTTGTCTCAAAAAAATTATAAATAGAATAGGTGTATAGGAAAAAGTTCAGTATTTACATGGGATAAAGGGAAGGGAGAGAGTAAAACTAAATTTCTATAAGTAGCTTAACTTGGCAGGGATTTTGCAACAACCTACCAGTCAATTCTTACCATCAGTGTACTTTTCTTTTTTGTAGCCAATTTATGATCCTCTAAAACAGAATTAAAGACAGGACCTTTTTCTGACTCTCCTATTAATTCTGGTTGCACGTGGGTGATGGTATATATAAACACAGTTAGTATTTTTGATCGTAATAAATAGTTCCATAATATTTCTGCAACTCATTTCTCACCTTTTTTAAGGAGAGGTGATTGATGTCGAGAACTTAGACAACCTTTTAGCAAGTGAGGGGATTGAGCTCACCGAAGGAGAAATGAAGGATCTGATGCCTCTCTTGACATTTAATGGTGAGATATGTGTGTGGGGGGGGTGTATAAAATTATATTTTCTTCCTAAAAGTACATTTTTGGTATCTTCTATAGAAGATCCTCAAAATGATCCTTACTTTTACATCACCTAGTGCAGTGGTTCTCAAATTTGAATGTGCATATAAATCATCTCATCATCTTGTTAACATGCAGATTTTGATCCAGGTTCACTGTAGAACCTGAGGTTCTGCCTTTCTAATAAACTCCCAAGTGATGCCAGGGATGGTAGTCCACGGACCACATTTTGCCTACTAAGGATCTAAAAGGTGAAGAAAACAGATAATATATTAAGGTTTTGCCTGGACTTTTATTTTCTAAAATCATAAGTTCAACCAATATGCTAATTTTTCCCTAAGGGAATGATTCCAGTCCAAAAAAAAATAAGGGAAAGTAATAAAGTGGTTGACATAAGAAAATAAAAATGAGCTGGGCATGGTGGCACATGCCTGTAATCCCAGTGACTTGGGAGGCTGAGGCAGGAGAATCACAAATTCCAAGCCAGGGACTGGGGATGTGCCTCAGTGATTAAGCACCTCTGGGTTCAATCCCTGGTACAAAAGAAAAGAAAAATAAATATTAGAGAGGGACATACAGGAGGAAGAGGAGTTTGTGGTTGGTTGATTTTTTTTTATTTGTTTATTGAGATTTTTAATATTGTTTATTGAGTCTAGTTACATGGCTAACCCACTGGCCCTTATATTATATAACTACATTTTAACTTCTACCACTTTCTTGTTGTTGTTCCAATACAAAAAATAAAAAAATTATCTAAGATACCAGGCACAATGGTGCATGCCTGTAATCCCTGCAACTCAGGAAGCTGAAATAGGAGAATCACAAGTTTAAGGCTAGCCTTAACAACTTAGCAAGACCCTGTCTCAAAATAAAATATAAAAAGAACTTGGGATATAGCTCAGTGGTAAGGCACCCCTAGATTCAATCCCCAGTACCAATAAATAAATAGAAAGATAAATCAATCAATCCACCGATCCAGCCATCCCCTGGTCAGAAGTCAACTCTCCCTTCTCTAAACTACTTCCCCTCCCCTGAGTTACTGGAGTTGAATCCAGGGTCTCATGCATGGTAGGTAGACACTACCACTGAGCTATACTTCCACCTCCCTTCTCTGAACTCTTATAGGGTTTTATCAGTTCTTCTCATTAGAAACTCAGAATATTCTGTCTTATACTTTGTTATTTTGTATATGCTTCTAGCTCCTTGAGAACAGGAAAACCAATCTCTGATATTTCTGGATTATCTACTCTTTCTAAAAAATTCCTCCTGTGTTTCCTTTTTCAATTAATGGACATATATTCAACTGCTCAAGCCAAAATCTTAAGGCCTTATCTTTGCTTTCTCCTCTCAGTTTCTCACATTCATTCATCAAGTTCTGTTAATTCATGCTCATAAACATTTTTTGCCTACTTTTCTTGCCTACATCCTGAATCCTAATACTGACCAATATTATCTCTTGCCTAATTGACTGTGGTGGCCTTTCTGTTAATCTCCCTGCTCCCAATCATGCTTTCATGCTTCTTTCCAATCCATTCTGCACCCAAGGTGATTTTGTTATTTTTTGTTTTGTTTTGTTTTTGGTACTAGAAATTGAACCCAGGGGTGCTTTATCAATGAGTTGCATCCCCAGCCCTTTTTATTTTGAGACAGAATCTCCCTAAATTGCCAAGGCTGGCTTTGAACTTGTGATCCCCCTTCCTCAGCCTCCCAAGTTGCTCCAAGTGTACACTGCCATGCTCAGCCCCAGGGTATTTTCTAAAACCTAAATATGATCATGCCATAGTTTTAAACCTTTCAAAAATGTTCCACTTGCCTCAAGGTCTTCGTGATAATACCACCAGCCTCCTTCCATTCCTCTGTGTGTGTTCAGCTTCAACCACACAGACCAAGTTGAAAGTTCCACAGATATCTTGTACCCTCCCTAGAAAACTATCCCCCACCCCCAAAGAAGGTGCATAAACCCTTCAGTTTGCTGAGATGATATCATCCCTTGAATGGGGTAAATTGGGCATCAATCTTATTTTAGTAGATACTGAATAATGCTTATTCATTAATAGTTTGGGTTTCCTACTTTGAAAGAATCTTCAGTCTCTGCTTTGCATTCCTTCTACATGTTGCTGTAACTCAACAGGACACTGTCTAATCCCAACACTTCCTAACTCAATCCTGGATGGGTAGCTGATTTTACTGAAACTGCTTCAAATTGAATAATCGATGCCTTATCCTTACAGATTCTACAACCATTCATAACTTCGGGGAATTTTTATTCATTTTCTGTTCCTCAAGCTCCAGCCTCACGTTTTGTTGCTGGGAAGGAACAAAGTGAAATATGGTTAGAGTTCTGAAAAAAAGTGAGGGAGAAAGAGGTGAATGCTGTTAACTCTCAAGACAAAAGCATACAATATTTTGAAGAACTTAAAAATAAGTCTACTTGTCCTACAATGTGCCTGAAACTATCCCTCCTCCTCCTAGTCCTTTCCCCAACTAGCCTGCCTTCCTCCCACAGTTTCCATCATCAAATTTACTCATTTCCACACATTTTTTAAAAATTACTTTCTTATCAGAATCCTCTCTCTCTCTCTCTCTCTCTCTCTCTCTCTCTCTCTCTCTCTCTTTGATAAATTCAAAACATGTATTTATAAAATGCTTAATCTGCCAACTCAGGAGCCCAAGGTGTGGAGTGGAGTGGGGGTGGGCAGCTGCCCTCCATATCAGCAGAGCAGAACTACAGAAATATGGCCCTCCCTCCCTTTCCTTTTTATTCAGACACCCAATGGGCCTCTGTACCCTCCTGGGATCATACAATCACAAAACAGGACCCTAGAGGTTTCTTGAGTCTCTGCTTACCAAGGAGGCTAGGTGCAACCCTACCAGCCCATCCCTGAGTACAGTCCCCCAGATAGGACAGAGCAGGGAAAGGCTAAGCAGGGAAGGGCTGAGAAGGGCAGATGGGTACTGGAAGGGGCTGATGGTAGCAGACAGGTGTTGCCTTCTGCCTGCAGGTGGGGAGCACCCTGACTGGGTGGGCTGAGAAGGGCTCATCACCAGGCTGGGGCCCCCAGCTTTTTTGGTAATAAGTTGACATCAGAGCATAGCCAAAGCATACTGCTTCATGGGAAGCAGCTAGTGGTAAGAGCTATGGCCTGGCTCCTGGGGTCTGGGAGGAGCTGGGAGAAGAGACAGTGTGAAAGCAGAACAAGGGGCAGCAGCTTCAGGTTCCTGTACCTCAACACCCCCTTAGAATTCTTAAGAGTGCCATCCAGGGTCCTTTTCTGTCCTCAGAATAAAAATTTTCAAAAGGGCTGGGACTGAGTGGCCTAGCATTCCTGAGGCCCTAGGTTCAATCCCCAGTACCTAATTTTTTTAAAAAAGACTAGAGATGTTTGTCTCCCTGAAAAAAGTTATCCTCTTTTTCATCACACTCACCTAAAGGAAAAAGGATTCCAAATTCCAAAGCAAATTCATGGAGTAAGTTTCAGCCCACTGCTACTTTTTATAACTTAACAGTTTTTATCAACTTTTATGAGTTTTTATGTGAATCAAAATGTTTTGCAGGAAATGGGAAGGTTACCGTGAATTCAATAATGGAGGGCCTGAAGAAGTTTAGACGTGAGTGAAAATTCATGATACAACTTAAAATTGATAGTCTGATGCTATGTTTAATTTATATGTGTTTTCTAGATTACAAAAGTAAATATTAAAAATTTTTCTTTATTTAGAGAATGAATAAAAAAGGAAAATTTTAATAATTCTACCCTCCAATGATAATCCATAATTTTATCACCATAAACTTTCCCTTATACACTTCCCTTATGTGTTTATGTTCTGTGCTTGTATAGAAAAGAATGAATGCGAGTTTTGAACATTATGCTACGAAATTGGTAAGAGGAGACAAAGTAAAGCTTGTCTTTGGCCCTCTTCTCATAGACACAGAACCTCAACCTGTGCTTTATTCTTAAGTAATTTTTATTTGCTCTCTATGCCTACATTTCCCAACAAGTATGACAAAAAAAAAAATTGTGATATGTCTCCAAAAGTCTCATTGTGTTTCAAAAAAGAATTTAAGATTGATTTAAGGAACTTTATGTGAGTATACATAAAATGAATTTTAATAAGAAAAAACAAACTTCAATTCTGGGTACCTATACTTATATTTTTCAAGTTCAAAAAAAATATTATTCAGAAAGACAAACAAGTCGGGCATAGTAGCACAAACCTGTAATCCCAGATACTTGGACTAGACATAAGTACAATGATATTTTCACACTTAAGTAACTTTTTCCCCAATTTCTAATGTATCATTTGTATTTCTAAGAAAAAAAGAGTATAGATTTCAGTTACCTGAGAATGATAACAGAAATACCTATATCAACATATGTACAACCTCAAGACCTGCTAATATTTCTGTCTTTTGATACTGAACATTCAGAACTCCTCCCAGACTTCAGAGGTACATGGATTACAAAGTTCTACTCGAGAATTTACAAAACTACACTTATAAGAGATATAGAGAAACTCTAATATACATTTAGAAAAAAAATAAGTGTAAAAAATAAAGTCTGATTCTTGTCTTAAAAAGAAATTATCTATGTCACATTCTCAACCAGAATGGTGCTACATGCAGTGTCTAAGAATGACATAGGGTACCTCTAGCAAACTACTCTCTAGGAAGGGAGAAGAATCAAACAATAGGGAGAAGAAAATGTGTGGGAGGAGAGATCAGACAAAGGGATATAAAAGGCATTTGATAGGTTTTTCTTAATTCTACAAACTATATGTGCTCATATTTGAATTAACCTTCCCTCAATAAAGAGGATATTTCTACTTTATGTGTACTACTTTCTGCGTGATATATTACCTTGTATAGCCTCCATAACCTAAAGGTATCACTAAACATTTTTCATGCTTTCATAACCTACCACAAATTTTTCTTGTTTTTAAAATAGTACAGAGTTGGCTTCTCTGGCTAGACCAAACCAAACCAGATATAAGAAACCAGGCTGTTATGTCCATCATCTTTCTCCTAAGAGTTAATCTCATCATGTTTAAAAAACTACCTCACATTTTGAAGGGCAAAAAATGAATAAATGATAAATGAATAGTCTTGATTTCAATTCTGATTCTAGTGCTTTTAATTTTTTTGCTTTTGGAGTTTAATACATTAAGGAGGCAAAAGAAGAAATATGAATTAAGATAATTTCAACATTTTCTTCAGTTTCCCACTCTCTGGGGAGAAAATAAGATAAACTATACCCCTCCTATTTCACTTTCTGTAACTTCAGAAATTTATATGATCTTGACTCTTTTTTTTTTAATTTTTTTTAGTTGTAGTTGGACACAATACCTTTATTTCACTTATTTATTTTATGTGGTGCTGAGGATCAAACCCAGGGCCTTGCACATGCTAGGCGAGCGCTCTACTGCTGAGCCACAACCCCAGCCCCCCACCCCCATCTTGACTCTTAATCTTGTCTTTAAGCAAAAAGAACAGTGTCTCTACAGAAGCTGATAAAAGCTCCCAGTTCTATTAAAGGTGAGTGTGAAACCTGATGTGAAGGCGTTGTGAAGACAGGGGTTACTACTTTGATTTATAGCTTTTAATCCCACAGTTTTTTTCCCTAATGGTTTTGTTGGTTTCTACCCTCTGTCTACTAATCCATAAGGTGATTGGACACCGTTAGTTCTCAAAAGTTTTTCTAAGTTCCTTTTGCCTTTGCCATACCACACAGCATCATATTGATTATTAGGTATCTTATATTGTTTTCTAGTGGCTTCACTTGCTACTTTTTTTTACCTTCTAATCACAGTGCAGTTTACAAAGTAGGTGTTCCTGGTTCTGCCATTAAAGAAACAAAACTTTAGTCTCTTTAGCAATAAAATGAAAAGGATGAATGTGGCTGATAATCTATTACTTCTCTTTTAGCTTTAAAAAATTCTAGGACTAGAGAGGTACTGGGGATTGAACCCTGTGGTGCTCTACACTGAGCTGCATTCCCACCCCTTTTTATTTTTTATTTTGAGGCAGAGTGTCACTAAGTCACTGAGGCTGGCCTTGCAGTCCTCCTGTGTCAGCCTCCTGGGTTTCTGGGACTACAGGCATGAGCCTGGCTGAGTCTACACTTAAATTTTTGTTTGCTTTTTTAAATTTTTCCAAAGCATATTTGCAGAGATATTAAATTGTGAGGCTATTGTAATAACAATAGTTTCTGGATTACCTCAGTAATCTGTACAAATAAATGAGAATGTTTACATTCAATACCACTAACATAGTGTTTGACTGAATACATTCAAGAAGTAAAACAGAAGTTTGCTAGCTCTATTGAGAAACTGGCTTATAGGTTATGTCTAACCCCAGATCCTCCTACTTTTTTCACATTTAAAATGATAAAATTTTGATTATGTGCCTATTATGTGAATAGCTTGACATAGCCAAAAATTCATACACACTAGGATTTTGTCATTTAATGTTTTTTAAAAATTAGACAAAGAACACCTTTTTAGGTGGCTAAAGAGAGTGATAATTGGTATCAGTGAAAAGAGAAGCTTATATAAGAACAGGGCTATTTTACTACATTTAATATCTCTTAGTTTGAATGTGTAATAAATGACTTTAACCAGTGGTGCCGCCCCTGACCAGCACAGGCAACTGAACTTAAGATCACTAGTGTGAATTTGCAGGGACACCAAATAAAACACAGACACAATTTACCTTTACACAAGCTACAGGAAGGCTTCCCTGCTCTCCGCCTCAGGCTCCCCAAAAGGGAGAGCAAGAGAAAGTTAAGACAGGCTGACGAGAGAGAAGGAGCACATTTGGAAGTGAGCTTTTATTGGGGGGACTCTGTTCTTAGAAAGTTCTATCCAAAAAAGGGCAGAAGGGGCAGGACTACAAAGGATAGGTGAGTGTAACTGAACCCTAGGGGCACATCCCACAAAGAAGAACCCTTACTATCCAAGATAGACCTTGCCCAAGCCACAGAGAATGCAGTGGTTGGTCAGAATCTGAGGCATCAGGATTGGAAGGGTGTGGTCATTCATTGTGGCTCCCCAAACAGTGGTTTTATGCAATAATTAAATAAAATTTTCTGAAGATTAAACTGTGAAGTGTATCATCCCTCATCTAATTTTGTAATACAAAGTAACATCCTTCCTACTTTTCTTTATCTCATAATTTATTTTTCTGCATGGTACATGATCAAATAAGCTTAAACCAAAATGTGCAATAAAGTTGAGTCTTTAGATAGTATCTAGTACATTATTAAGAAAGATTATTTCTATATTTTAAATGTTTTTGTTCATGTAGAAATCATCAGTTTAAATCTGTTTAAAAGACAGATGACTATATTTTAAATTTTGAGTATTAAATTCATAATGTCATTCCTACTGTTTTATCCTTATCATTTTGCAGTGTTTTTAGAAAAATAGTAACTTACTAGCATTATTTTGTTGTTACTGTGTAAAAATTGTAATAAATATTAAATTCTTAAAAAATGAAATAAAATTCTAGGATTAACTTGCAGCTGAAAGGAAACTATCAAAATGAAAATACAGCGTACAGAATGGGAAAAAATAGTTGGAAATTATATACTGACAAGGACTTAGTATCTAAAATATATAAAGATCCTTGTAACTCAACAATAAAGAGACAAATACAGATATTTCCCCTTTTCCACAGTTGTACTTTCTGTAGCTCCAGTTGCCTATAGTCAATTGTAGTCCAAAGTATTAAATGGAAAATTCCAGAAATAAGCAAGGTGTAGTTGCACACACTTATAATCCCAGTAACTCCAGGATACTGATAAAGGAGGATCACAAGTTCACTGCCAGCCTGGGAAACTTTGTGAGCTCCTGTCTCAAAATAAGTTTATAAAGGGCTTGGGATGGCCACATCAGGGTTTATAGAACCATAATTCATAACAGCTAAATTATGGAATCAACCCAGATGCCTGTCAGTAGATGAATAGATTAAGAAATTATCGTATAATATATACATAAGTATATATACATACAGTATGTATATATGTATATTGAATTTTTGGAATATATATATACACAAAAGTTTGAAATTATGGCATTTGCTGGTAATTGGATGAAAATGGGGAATCTCATGCATGCTAAGTAAAATAAACCAAATTCAGAAACTCAAAACTCAAATGTTTTCTCTCATATGCAGAAGCTAGAATAAAATAAAGGAAAAGGGAAGGGAAGGATAAGGTAACATAAAGATAAAGGGAAGATCAGTAACATGAAAGAAGGAAACTGAGAGACAGAATGGAGGGATGGGTAAGGAGAGATAACGGCAGAATGAATTTTTTAAAAATCATGTTATATGCATAGATAAATATATGACAAGGAACTTCATTTTTATGCATAGGTAAAAAGAACCAATCAAATATAAATAAATAGATGAGTAGGAAGTCCAGTAGAGCAGAGGAAGAAAAATGGGACGGGGAGGAGGACAGAAGGGAAAAGGCAGGATAATGAACGAAATTGAATTCCACGCATGTGTGAGTTTATTGGGATGAACCCAATTACTATGTATAACTATAAAGTTCTAATAAAAACAATTTTAAATAAAAAAGTACTCAAAACTAAAAAATGAAAGAAAGAAAAGTAAGTTTAAGACCAGCCTCAGAAACTTATTCTTACTGTGTCTCAAAATAAAAAAGTAAAAAAGTCTGGGATGTGGCTCAGTGGTTTAAGTACCCCTAGTTTAACCCCAGTATAAAAAAAAGACTAATATCATATGATTCCACTTATATGAGATATCTAGAGTAGGTATGATAGTTGCCAGGGGTTGGTAGAAGTGGGAAATGGGGAGATGTTATTTAATGAATATAAACTTTCAGTTTTTCAAGATGAAAACATTCCATAAATTGGTTCCACAACAAAGTGAATATACTTAATGATAGTAAGCCATACACTTAAAATTGGTAAGATGGTAAATTCTATGTGATATGTATTCTACCACAGTTAAAGGTAAATCATAATTTTAAAATTTTACTTCTAGCTGAGTGCAGTAACACTCGCCTATAATACCAGGTACTTAGAAGGCTGAGGCAGGAGGATCACTTCAGCCCAGGAATTTGAGGCCATCTGGGAAATATGGTGATCCCTATCTCTAAAAAATAAAATTTTACTTCTCACCAACCGCATCAGATAGGAACTGTCATTATACCTATTTTAAATCTTGGTAGCCTTTAACACAGTGAGCCCTTAATACAAATATTTGTTGAATTAATTTATAAATTAAACCTTCTCATACTTTCCCTTTGTGTTCCTGACCAGAATGAGAGGCTTAGTGGCAGTGAAGCCTGGGGCACTTTTGAAAGCCCCACTCTATCACTAGCTAAACCTTAGGTGCCATTGCTTTGTTTAGCCATAACAGACTAAAGACACTCCTACTCTTGTGCTGGACAATTTACAATGCCACAAGACAAGTCAGATAATGAATATCAAGATTTCTGCTTAACACAATCTTTGCTTCAATTACTCTTTTTAAGTCATTTTTCCTACTAATATTAAAAACCACAGTCTATGAGGGTTTGATTTTCCCCCCTCTTTCTAGGCTTAAACAATGAAATGGTTTTTAATCACCATTCGGTCAAGGTACCTGGAAAAAATGTTTTACTTGAACAACTTTCAACTAACTAATGAAAATATATTAATACAATGTTTAAAACTAAAAAATTTCCCCTTCCCTGAAATCTCAACAATGTCAAAATGTTCTGATTCTGTAGCTCACACTGTCACACACCCCAAGGGTGCTGAATGAACCACACTGAAAACACTAACTCTCTGTTAACACTGAAAGAAATTGGTGGCTCATTCTCCCCCTGGCCTGAGACTGAGCATTGAATGAGGTCACAGTTGTATGATGGAACAAACCTTTTATTGGATTCTTCATCTGATTGAAGTCCCAAAGTAGTTAGTAGCCCAGCTTAAAAGTAGTAAATATCAGGATTTTTATGATTCTAGGCTGAGTCCTTTTTAAAAAAAAAAAAACAAAAAAAAAAAAACTATTATCTCTATAAAAGATTGAAGATTCTTTTTTTAAGTAATGATTATTTTGAGCCATGAGGATGATTTCACAGCACCTTTCAAGTGCCTAAATTGTTGAGCATCTCCGGCGTTCCAGCTCTGTGGTAGGTTCCTAGATTCTGAACATATGTAATTGAGTGGTGTAGAAACAACTGCTTTCCAGGTTCTGAGGTGAAGACCTGGGAAAAATCAATTCTAACCCAACATTCAGAAACCTTTTCATAGTTTAAAAGTAGTATTATTGTTTGTTATTCCTAAGTTAGGAACCCAGTTTACTTGTCAATGAACCACTTGATACACTCTATTGGAGCAATAAAAATAATAAAGGGAAAAGCCCTACCCCTAGCTCCTGGACCACAGGCCCTGTGTCTCAAATTATGCAGAAATGGAAAGGGAGGACTAGGGAGGCCATAGCAGTGAAGAGGCCATACAAGAGGATCTAAGGTAGCAAACAGCACTGTATTCCTTACCTGCTCCTACTTTTAAGAAAGACCAGTGAGTTCAAAAGAACCAACAGGGCAGTGATATGTGTTCCAGTAAAAAACCCTGGGAAAATCTACTTACTACCAGACAGATATATAAAAACAGAAATAAGTAAGCAAATATTTTAGAAATGGTGTAAACATTTTATTCTTTGTCAATTAATTGTGCATGAAATGTTTTTGTTGCATAAATAAATTCTGTCTTTAAATAACTTCTTCCACATAGTTCTAAGATACTTTATCTGCATCAGAGTGACCCCTTTTTTAATATTTACTATGTACAACTTGATGGTTTGAGATATATATATATATATATATATATATATATATATATATATATCTCCACATTATGAAATAGTTCTACCATCCAGCATTAATATATCCAACGCCTTACAGTTACTGTTGGCAGAAGAGTAAGAACATTTAGGATGTGCTTTCTTAGCAAATTTCAAGTATACAGTACAGTGTTATTACCTATAGTCACCATGTTACAGCATCAGTACTCATTTTGTGTAACTGAAACTTTGTACCTCTTGACCAATATCTCATAGCCCCCTTCTCCCAGCATTATACTCTCTGCTTTCATATAACTGTTAGATTCCACATATAATTAAGAACATAACAGTATTTGTCTTTATGTAGCTGATTTATTTCTCTTAACATTTGTTTGTTTGGAACTGGGAATCGAACCCAGAGGGCTTTTACCACTGAAAGACATCCCCAGACCATTTTTTGTTTATTTTTTATTTTGTGACAGGTCACACTGAGTTGCTTAGGGCCTCACTAACTTGCTGAGTTAGCCTTAAGCATGCAATCCTCCTGCCTCAGCCTCCTGAGTCAGTTGGATTACAGATGTTTACCACTGCACCTGGTAACATTTTTTAAAAAATATTTTTGGTTGTAGTGGACACAATATCTTTATTTTATTTATTTAGTTTTTTTATGCGGTGTCGAGAGTCGAACCCAGTGCCTCAAACATGCTAGGCAAGCACTCTACCACTAAGCCACAACCCCAGCCCAGCATTTATTTTTACATAGCATCAGAATGATAGTATTTGAAAGGGGAAGTAATGGCAAGAAGTTTTGCTTAGAAATCTAGTGATATCAAAGGGACCCTTCCACATCCCTCCAACTTTGCACATAACTCTAGTACCATTCCTTAAAGCTCTAGATTTTTCAAATGCTAGGCCTTGAGCTAGGAAAGTTGCAATAGAATATATATAATATGTGAGTTGATTCCTAATAATATCTTCTGAATTCCAGACGGAGTCACTGGCCAAATGGCAGTTTCAGAAGTTAATCCAAAATTTAAGCTAAATCCTTTAAAAGTACCTGGGTTCCACAGCAAGAGGTAGGTAATTAAAGTATTAATATGTAATAACTTATTAAGTGATGACTATATTAAATACCCATAGAGGCTACGACTAGACAAGTTAGAATGCTCTTCAAGTATCTGTTCTGTGGCAAATTTAGGTATAAAGCAAAATTTCTGAATTAAAGACAGAGATTATTTTGTTCTCTTTTTGAGATACTGGGGATTGAATGCTAGACAAGCATTCTACCACTGAGCTACATCCTCAACCCCTTAAATCTCATTAAGTTACCCAGGTAGCCTCAAACTTATGATCCTACTCTATTAGCCTCCTGAGAAATTAGGATTACAGGTATGCATCACTGTGCCTGACAACCGAAAGATTATGTGTGTGTATGTATATGTGGGGGGAGTGTGAGATGGGGTTTTACTGGGGAGTGAACCCAGGGGTACTTTACCACTGAGATACATCCCCAGTCTTTTTTTTTTTTCTGAATAGTGAAATAGGGCTTCATGAAGTTGCAAAGGCTGGCCTTGAACTTGAACTTGTGATCTTCCTGCCTCAGACCCTCCCAGTTGCTAGGATTACCATGCTTGACTGAGAAAGATTTTTTTTATGAGAAGAAAAAGACAATTTTGGGGGGTGGGGGGAGGTTCAGGGGATTGAACTCAGGGACACTTAACCACTGAGCCACATCCCCAGCCCTTTTTTTTGTATTTTATTTAGAGACAGGGTCTCATTGAGTTGCTTAGGGCCTTGCTAAATTGCTAAGGCTGGCTTTGAACTTGCTGTCCTCCTGTGTCAGCCTCCTGAGCCACTGGGATTATAGGTATATGCCACTGTACTGGGCCAACTATTCTTTTAGACTGGAGAAACAGTTATCCTTCCTACTTTCCTAGATGAAAATCTATTTTCTGTTAGGACATAGAATGTCATAGAGGGATCGAGGAGTTATAAGTTATTCATTAAGGTATTTTGAGTGCCAATTTAAAGAATAAGTGTAAAACATCATGCCTGGCATGATGGCGCAGCCTCTAATCCCAGTGGCTTGGAAGGCTGAGACAGGGGGATCATGAGTTCAAAGCCAGCCTCAGCAACTTGGTGAGGCCCTGTTTCTAAATAAAAATATTTTAAAAAGGGCATCAGGATGTGGCTCAGTGGTTAAGCACCCCTGGGTTCAATCCCTGGTACCAAAAATAAATAAATAAAAAGATCATAAAGAAGAATTAACTCCTAAGCAAGTCAAAATATAGAGAAAAGAGTACACATTACAAATATAACCAGTAAAATGAGATCTGATAAAATAGGTTTTTCTGAGTCAGCTATTAACAAATTTCAATAAACATCCACCAATGACTAAAAGTAAGAGAAACAAAAATTTGTAATCCCAGTAGCTCAAGAAGCTGAGACAGGAGGATCACAAGTTCAAAATTTAGCAAGGCCCTAATCAACTTACAAAGACCCTGTCCCAAAATAAAATAAAAAATAAAAATAAAAGGTTTGGTTAAGTCACCCTAGGTTCAATACCAGTACCAAAAAAAAAAAAAAATTTATACTGCCTGGCATTCCACTTTCCTCTGGATTCTTAAGAATATTATATCTCTGCATCTGCTGCATCTTTTTACATCATCTGACAGAAATATTTTTATATTTAGGGGTTGGGGTTGTAGTTCAGCTGTAGAGCACTTACCTTGTACTTGTGAGGCACTGTTTGATCCTCAGCACCACAAAAAATAAATAAATAAATAAAGCTATTGTGTCCATCTACAACTAAAAAAATAATAAAAAAGAATAGTTTATAAAATAATCTAAGAGTCTTTAGAAGTTCAAGTAGATGATAAAAAGAAAACATCAGAAGAAATCAATATTGCCAGGTGTGGCAGTATACACCTAAAATCCCACCTACTTAGGAGGCTGAGGCTGGAGGATCACAAGTTTGAGACCAGCCTGAACACCCTAATGAGACCCTGTCTCAAAATTTAAAAAGGGCTAGGATATTGCTCAGTGGTACAGTTTTAACTACCAGGACTGCCAAAAAACAAAAACAAAACAAAACAACCTTATCACAGCCAGGATGGGTGTAGTTCCGTGGGAGAGCCCTTACGTAGCAGAGGCCCTAGACTTGATCTCCAGCAATGCAAATAAATAAATAAATAAAAGCTGGTCACTTTCTTTTCTCCCAGGTCCCTCTTTGAAATGAGTTAAATCTAATAAATACTCTACAGGACACTAAATAATAATTTTATTTTTTATTATTTTTTTTATTTTTTTTTCTTTCCGAGAAGAAATGGTTTTATTTGGACCCAGAGCTTGAGAATGAGACTAGGACCTGAGATAACATATTGAGCTAAGGTGTAGATATTAGCTTACAAAAGGGCAGTCAGAGCTCATCAGCCAAATGGACTCTACTTCCCAGCAGCCTTGCTGTTAGTGCAATCAATAAAAGGACTGCTGGGAAATATATATGCCACTAAATCACCCCGGTGATTTTTCATCATAGAAAAATTTCCATAAACCCTCCAAACTACACATATTACAAAAGGAAATTTTAAAATATCACATTTTACAGAATTTAAACTTTTCTTCAGCATCTAGCTCAGAGGTCTCACCAACTTCAAAATACAGCTTTCCACTGAACTCTTCAACCATATAAATAAGATGTATCAAGCAATGAGAAGGCTATCTTTGCTAGCCAATGGCAATTCTCTTCCCAATTCAGCTTCCCTGAGCTAAGGCTCACGTGGGGCAGGCTAGGAAGCACATTGGTTAATACAACACAGCAGCTGAAACTTGATGGGACAGCAGAACTGGTGAGACTTGAGAGGAGGCTCCAGGTTCTGTATTCAGTCAAAGTCACTGCTGGAAGAGGAGGGATGCTTGCCATGCTTGTGGTGTTTGTGCATCTTTTCTTCATTTTCTTCCACATCTTCTTGTCCATAATCATTCCTGGGCCTACCATGCCAGGAGCCATGTGGTTCACAGGAGGCATAACAGGAGCAGATGGTGGGTGTGAAGGAGAGTAGGGACCTGAGGGTTGGTGTCCTGGCAGAGAATAAGGGGACCCACGTGGAGGAAAACTTGGCATTTCCTGGGGACCTTCTAGGGGAGTGGGACAGAGACCAGGAGGAAAGGCCAGATTGTCAGGTGGTGGATGTGGTGGATGGATGCCCAAGATTAGAACCTCCAGGGTTACCTGACATTGGTGGATATGGATTTGGCCCTGAATGCCCAGCACTGGGATTCTCCATATTCAGGTATTTCCCCCAGCCAGGTCACCTCCCCACAGCTGCCAGGGCTTAATCCGTTCTCCTCTAGTCTCTCATTTCCCTTTTTTAACTTCTTTTTATAAAACTACCAAAACCAAGTGATTCCATAGTTTTTAAACTTTTGGTTCTCAGAATTAAATAAAATAAATTTATAAAATTATAGTTTTATTTTGTTATTAATTTACATTTAATTAATTGTTTATTTACCATATTTACAAGTCCAGATTTACACAATAATTTCTATATTCCTAAATAAATTACTGCAGATCTATGCAAACTGTTCCCAAAATATTAACATTCTCTCTCCTTTTCCATATTTTATTTTCCCAAGGAAATGAAAGGTCAAAACAGAGTCCCAAACTTTCCAAAAGGTTTTATAACTCTATTATCTTTTTCTGTATATTTCTGACATGTGGTAAAAAATACAGTCTGGCGGGGTTGTGGCTCAGCAGTAGAGTGCTCACCTTGCACGTGCAAGACCCTGGGTTCGATCCTCAGCACCATATAAAAAAATAAACAAGTGAAATAAAGATGTTGTGTCCAACTACAACTAAAAAAAATAAATATTAAAAAAAATACAATCTGGCAATAATGGATGCAAAGTTTTCTCTATAAGGATACTCATCACAACATTAATTATATTAGTTACAAAGTTAAAAAAAACTTTTATTTATAACAACATGAATAGTTAAAGGTTTATAATCTTGAGCTTTTGAATCATACAAACTTAAATCTCAAGTCTGTCCCACCTCTGTGTGACTTTGGATAAGTTATTTAATTCCTTTGAGCCTCAGTTTCCTGTTCTAGAAATGGATGAAATCAGATTTTTTTTTTCCTATGAGCCAAGCACTCATCAAAAATAATTTGATGAATTAACATCAGATTATTTATTTTTCTTAAACAAAATAAGGACAAGGGAACTTCACAATTTCGCCAGTTGAGAATGGCTGTTCTCCCTCCAATCCAGATTTCTCTTAGAGGACCAGATGTGTCAGCTTGGTTTGATTAACTCCATGTTGTTGTTCCCCCCCACCCCAGAATATTGTCTCTGTTGAAAAACTGGCTTCACAAAGAAGGTGACAGCAGGAAAATTTCAGAATCCAAAGCTTAAAATAAGTCTTGGGCAGTGTGGGGTTATTTTCTGTCTCTGGGGGTGATCATCCGGTGTCCGAGGCCTGGGGACAGAGGCAAAGTCCCCAGCTGCCCATCTAGGAGATGTCACTCTCAGTAGCATCTGGTGTTCTGACCTGTGCTCGCCCAGGATGATGGTGGGTAAGGAGCAGCAGGTCACAGGGGCCTCCTGACCCTCTGGGAGACAGAGCTCTCCCTGGGCAGACCCCGGGACTGAGAGTCAGCAGCCAGGGGAGAATCAACGACTATCCCCGCCTGTGGTCCCTGAGGTCCTGGTGCAGGGATGCAGGAGGCAGCCAGTGTCACAAGATGTCCCTGTCCCCAGCCAGGCTGGGCGCCTGGCTAAGCAAGGAGAAAAACGGTGTCCCTCCTCAGGGCCTGGTCCCTGCGCCTGGTCTCACTTCCTCCCGGCACCTCCTGGAAGGGGAGGAAAGTGACACCCAGGGGAAGGCTGGGAAGTGAGGCCACCATCACATTCAAGTTCAGGGTGCGACAGCTCAGTCTGTCCCCCAACAGGCCCCATACTCCGCTCCTCTTCATGGACCACGACCCTTCTGAGAGTCACACCCTGCCCTTTATAGGCACAAGGACCCAGAAGTTCCAGAGACATATCCATGTTTAGGCCCTCGGATCTGGAAGTGCCTCAAGTGTCCATGTTTAGGCCCCCGGATCCGGAAGTTCCAAAGGTGCACGTCCACCCGGATCCAGAAGTTCCTCGGGCGCACATCCATGTTTAGGCCATAGCATCTGGAAGTGCCTCAGGTGCACATCCATGTTTAGGCTCTAGGACCGGAAGTTCCTCAGTTGTTCATGTTTAGGCCCCCAGATCCGGAATTTCCTCAGGTGCACGTCCTATTTTAGGCCCCCAGATCTGGAAGTTCCTCAGGTGCATGTCCATCTTTGGGATCTCAGATCCAGAAGTTTCTCAGTCCTCCATGTTTAGGCCGTAGCATCCAGAAGTTCCTCAGTTGCACGTCCATGTTTAGGCCCCTGGATCTGGAAGTTCCTCAGGTGCACGTCCATGTTTAAGCCCTAGGGGATCAGGAAGATCGTTGTGAGGATGATTTGCAAGTATAGGACCGAAGTGCATATTTCAGTGGCCAACATTTACTTACTGTCCATACTACAACTGTTGGCAAGTGACAGTAACTGGTCCCTTTAGGTACTGTGACTCTGGATAAATTGTGATACTTTCAGTCATTCCATTCAGCAAAAATTGATGAAGAAGATTGACTTTTGCTGGTTTCATATATGTATTAAGTCTTAATCTTTTTATGTATCTTTTCAGGGATAATAATTTACCAGAACATCTTCAACACAAAGAAAAGTTGAGCCCTTCACAAATAGAAGGTAATGAGAATCATCCTAGAAATTAAGGAATAAACAACAGCCTCTTAATATATCTGATCCTTTCTTCTTTAATAGAGATATGAGATTTGAAGGGCTGTCTACACTACCCCATCACTAAGACAGAAAAAATTAAATTAAATTAAAAAACTTTTTGTAGGGGATGGGAATATAGCTCAATTGTAGAGTACTTGCCTAGCTTTTTGTGGGATTGGAGAGGAACTGCTTTCAAATTGGCATCTCTGTAGAATTTTAAAATTCCTGACCAAATATTTTTATTCAAAGGAGAACTTTTGGGGAGTGGAAAAGAACAAATTCAAGGTCAAATGTAAATCAAGCTATGGAAAAATATAAGCACAGCTGAAGTTCCAAGGATTTCTCAGAGAATAATTATAATAATAAAATGAGCTACAGTGTCTATAATTCATTCATCCAAACAACAAATACCTATTTTAAACCAACAATGTCCAGGCATGAGTAACACAATAAAATAAGTTAGACATGGTCCCTGCCTTAATAGAAAGTATAACAGGGAAGACCAATGGTTAAACCATGAATTTGTTGAATGAATCATTTAAAGTGCAATATGATATGTGTTGTGATATGGAAGTATACAGTCTTATAGAAGCATAACAGGAAGTGTCCTGACTTGGTCTCATGAAGGGAAGGGGAGTCCCAGAGAAAGCTGAATGGTAAGTAGGAATAAATTGGACAAAGAACAGAGAGAGGAGCATTTCAGGTAGAAAGAACAGATCTATAAATGCCCAGAGAAAAGGGAGAGCATTTTACAGTAGAAAAGCTAGAAGAATTTCAGCTATTTGGGAGGCTTGGGCAGGAAGATTGTAAATTCAAGGCCAGTCTTAGCAACTTAGTGAGACCCTGTCTCAAAAAAATTTTAAAAAGCTGGGGTTGTAGCTCAATGGTAGAGTATCACTGTGTTCAATCCCCAGTACCACAAAAGATAAAATAACAACTAAAAGTCAAGCAATCAAAAAATCACCTCTAGCTGGGCGTGGTGTCACATGCCTATAATCCCAACAATTTGGGAGGCTGAAGTAGGAATATCGCTAGTTCAAAGCCAGCCTCAGCAATTTAGCGAGTCCCTGAGCAATTTAGCAAGACCCTGTTTCTAAATAAAATACAAAAAGGGGCTGGGGATGTGGCTCAGTGGTTAAGCACCCCTGAGTACCAAAAAAATCACCTCTAACTGGGTGTGGTGGTGCATGCCTGTAATCCCAGCGACTTGGGAGGCTGAGGCAGGAAGATTGCAAGTTCAAAAACAGTCTCAGCTAAAGTTCTTTAATATTAAAAAAAAAAAAAACAGTCTCAGCAATTTAATGAGGTCCTGAGCAACTCAGCGAGACCCTCTCTCTAAATAAAATATAAAAACAGGCTGGGGATGTAGCTCAGTGGTTAAAAAAGCATCCTTGGGTTCTGTCTCTAGTACCAAAAAAATTTTTTTTAAATCACCTTTATTGCTGAGAAAGCTGGTTTGGAAAATGAAGGACTGTCAATATCAGATTTGCATTTCTACATGTTAATTGTAATACTAAAATGAATGCCCTACTAATAAGCTTATGATTATTGTAGTGTTAATCCTCACAGCTTTTCTGAGAAGTAGATGTATTCATTCTACATGCATTTATTGAATACCTCAAAGTCCCCAAAATCTCCCATCCTTGCTCTCAAATGATATCCTTACTTCCTACTTCTCTGCAGAAAACTGAAGCAATCAGAATAAAATTTTCACTCTCACCTGCATATCTACTTCCCTACCAGCATGTGTACCCACATACTCTACTTTCCAAAACAACTGGAGCAACATAACTAAACAATATAGAATTAGATTATAACTCAAAGAATAAAATAAACATCCATGAGTCCATAATGATAAAAATAAATGATTGAGGGGCTGAGGCTGTGGCTCAGAGGAAGAGCGCTCACCTAGCACACATGGGGCACTGGGTTCAATCCTCAGCACCACATAAAAATAAAATAAAGGTATTGTGTCCATCTATAACTAAAAAAATACATATTTAAAATAAATAAATAAATAAATGATTGGATTTTTAATACAAAGACGACACAAATGGCCAAGTCAGTTGTACTAAAGGGAGAAATGAGGTCACTATGTATTTTTAATACATTTTTTAAGTTGTTGATAGACATTTATTTATTTATTTATTTATTTATTTATATGCAGTGCTGGGGATAAAACCCAGTGCCTCACACATGCTAGGCAAACACTCTACCATTGAGCCACAACCCTAGCCCCCACAATGTATTTTTAAGGAGAAGTAACAGTGTATTTGTATGATAATAGGAATATCTATTATAATAGTGAAAATTTGGTGTTGGAGACAGGGACCTTTTAGAGGGTGATATCTGTGAATATGAGAGAGGGGATACATTATAATCTACAATAGAGGTAACTGGATCTAGATAAAAGTATAAATTTCAGGTCTGGGGATGTAGCTCAGTGATAGAACTTTCCTACTATGTGTGAGGTTCTGAGTTTAATTCCCAGTTACAAAAAAAGAAAGTATAAAGTTCATTTGTGGAATAGGGAAGAAATCAGAGTATTATTACTGATAAAGGTAGACAGGTAGAAGTGAAGGTAGGAAGGCCAGGCACAGTGGTGCACCCCTATAATCCCAGCAGCTCAGGAGGCTGAGGCAGGAGGATCACAAGTTCAAAGCCAGCCTCAGAACTTAGTGAGGCACTAAGCAACTCAGTAAGACCTTGTCTCTAAATAAAATACAAAAAAAGGGATGGGGATATAACGCAGTGGTAAAGTGATCCTGGTTCAATTCCCATTACCTAAAAGAAAGGAAAGGAAGGGAGAGAGGAAAAGAAGGTGGGAGTCTTGTCAAAATTCTATTTGTCTCTTTTTTTCAATCCCCAACCCAGCATTACTTTTTGTTTTTTTCATGGTATAGACCACCTTCTAAAATAGTATCTAATTTACCTACTTATTTTATTTATATGAGGACAGAAACGTTTGTGTATTTCATGCAGGAGTGTATCCTAAGCACTTAGAGCACAGTACCTGGCACACAGAAAGCATGCAATAAATATTTGCTAAATTGCATGAATGCCTACAACATGATAAAGAGGCTGTGAGAAGATAGAGAGGAGTCAGAAATGGTTTGATTCCAGCTCTAGAAAAGCTTACCTTTTGTCAAGGGAGATAGGTGTTATCTTTTCATACAGTTACAAGGTAAGTATCATTATCTTATAGGATTAATCACTTCTTATACATAGAGATGCTGAGACTTGAATGTATATGAAATGCATTCTATTCTGGTGCCATTTGGAATATACTTTGATCTGGATTTATTTCTTCTTTCACTAATTTTAGAAAACACATACCTAATTTGGCTTCAATTGGTGCTTTGAGTATTTCTTTGAAAAACACTTTAGATATGTATAACATACATATACATATTCAATTTGGGTCCAACTTCGTGTATTAGTTTTCTACTGCTACCATAACAAGTTATCACAAATTTCACAGCATAAAACAGCAGGTTGTACAGGTCAGAAGTCCAGATAGGCTTGACTCGCTTCTCTCCTGCAGGTCTTAGAGGTTCCAAATTCAGGGGTTGAGACAGGCATGTTAGTACACACCTGGCATCAGAGAGACTCCAGAGATTGAGGCAGAAACATGGAAAGTTTAAGGTTAGCCTGGGCAATTTAGTAAGACCTGTCTCAAAATAAAAAATAATAAGCAGCACCATGGTAGAGCACCCCTGGGTTCAATTGCCAGTATTGGAAGGAAGAAAGGAAGGAAATCAGGGGAAGGAACAAGAAGGAAATAAACAAACTTAGGTGTTATCCAGCCTGGGCTCTTATTTGGGAGAATATATTTTTTTTTTTTTCTTTTACATTACTGGGGATCAAACCCAAGATCTCTGGCATGCTAGGCAAGCTCTCTACCACTGAGTTGCCTCCCCAGCCCTTATGTGGGGATTCTTATTTGGAAAGTCCAGAGAATCTGCTTCCAATCTCATTCAGATTTGTGGCATAACTGAGTTCTTTGCAGTTGCATAGCTGAGGTCCCAATTTTCTTGCTGCCAGTCAACCAGGAGACTCAGCCCCTTAAGGCTACCTATGTTGTATACCATGTTGCTCCCCATACCCTATCTTCAAACAAGCAATGGTGGGGGAAATCTTCTCATGCCCTGAATTTCTTTTTCTGCCACATCTGTCTTGCTTCTAGCTCTATGATGAGTTTATATAATTAGATTGGGCCCAATATCTTTACTGAAAGAAAGGAAGGGAGGGAGGGAGAGAGGAAGGAAGGAAGGAAAGAATATATTCAATATATTTTTTGGATTATCTCAGATAATCCAAGATAACATATCTCAATTATATCTGCAAAGTCCCTTTTACCATATAAAGTAATTTATTCATAGGTTCCAGAGATTCGGGCATGGACTTCTTTGGAAGGCTATCTCACATACCAATTAGCTTGTTCTACTTCAAATCCTAAGGAAGGGCAGTATCAGGTATCAGAAATGTCTATTAAAAGCCAGGTGTGGTAGTATAGGACTGTAATCCCAGTGACTTGGGGGGCTGAGGCAGGATGATCACATGTAAGGCCAGCCTGGGCAACTCAGTGGGGCTCTAAACTATTTAGCAAGGTCTCAAAATAAAGAGGGCTGGGGAGGCAGGTGCAATGGTGCATGCCTGTAATCCCAACAGCTTGGGAGGTTGAGGCAGGAGGATTATAAATTCAAAACCAGCCTCAGCAAAAGCAAGGTGCTAAGCAACTCAGTGAGACCCTGTCTCTAACTAAAATACAAAATAGGGTTGCGGATGTGGCTCAGTGGTCAAGTGCCCTTGAGTGCAATTCCCAGTACCCCTCAAAAAGTGGGGTGGGGCTGGGGATGTAATTTAGAAGTAAAGCTCTCCTCAGTATCCCTCCCCCCAAAAGTATTAAATGCCTATTTTTCTCAGTACTTTTCTAGAACATGATCTCCAGCTGTATTATCTGTTCTAGTCTTATTAGCATATGTATTTCTTCTTAAATAACTGCCGTAACTTAATTCCATTCTCCAGCCTTCCATCATGCCTACGACTTCTTCAGCAAGGATAAAACTGGCTGTATTGATTTACATGGAATGATGTGCACTTTAGCTAAATTGGGAATGAATGTAACCAAGCATGATATCTATAATGAATTAAAATGTGCTGATATTGATCGTGAGTATTTTAATTTCTCATTACCTTCTCATAAAAGACTTTTTAAAAACTTTTACAAATACATATTTTTGCTGGGCACAGTGGCATATGCCCTTAAATGCCAGCAACTCAGGAGACTGAGGCAGGAGGATCATGAGTTCAAAGCCAGCCTCAGCAACTTAGTGAGGCCCTAAGCAACTCAGCAAGACCCTGTCTCTAAATAAAATACAAAAAGGGCTGGGGATGGGGGGTGGGGGGTGCCTGGGGTTGTGGCTTGGTGGTAGTGCACTTGCCTAGCATGTGAGAGGCACTGAATTTGATCCTCAGCACCACATAGAAATAAATAAATAAAGATATTGTGCCCAACTATAACTAAAAATATTTTTTTTTAAAAAAAGGGCTGGGGATATGGCTAAGTGGTTAAGCACCCTGGGGTTCAATCCCTGGTACCAAAAATAAACTATTTGAGGTGTTTGGCATTCACTGGAGGTCTTGGAATATATCCTCTGCAGATAAAGGGGATTACTGTATATGAGTTTATTTCCCTGTAAAGATATCATTGAGGTATGTGTGTGTGTGTGTGTGTGTATATATATATATTATGAAATCAAATTAATCCTCAGAACTATTCTTTGAAAAATCCTGTGTGGAAACTGAGTGACTATCTCAATATCAAATTCAGGTTATTTTTCATGATGTTCATTTTGAAAGATACCTTGAAATCACAAATACAAAAACATAAACAATTTAAAAACTGACATGATGCCCAGAAAATCCAAGCCCTTTGTTTCCATTTAAGTTATAATAGTATGAATCCTCTTTGCATCATTAGGGTCTACCTACACTGAGTTTTAAATGACAGAGAATTTTTTTATATTTTTAAAGCATCAAGATCATGTTTTTACTAGCAAGGATATTAGAATGATGTGCATTTTAGCTAAATTGGGAATGAATAGTGGAAGGAGACGGTCATCATATAAAAAAATTCACGTATGAAGATGTGAATTTCGTGTCAACATACCTTATATACAAAGATTTGAGAAATTGTGGTATAAAGGTGTATTAAGAATTGCAATGCAAAAAAATTATGAATGTGATGCACTCCTCTATTGTGATGTAAGAAATAATAATAATAAAGATCATGTTTCTATTGAGAATCCTGACCTAGTTCAAGCTGATACATTGTGTGAAAAATATATTCAGCACATTATCTCCTCTCACCTCACCTCACCCACTGTCAGTGCCCACTCAGTCAGCATTAGTTCCACATGTGATTCAATGTCACCAGTTAAGGTATCACTTGTTTCCACTAACTATGCATAATTTTTCTATTCTTCCTAGGAAGCATACACACATCCGCTTTAATAGCACTATCTTTAATTTTAGAAGAAATGGGCTAAAGCTTGGCTATTTTATAGTAGAATAGGGCTGGATATGGAGTGGGATGTTGGGTAGATTCCTTGTAAAAATGGCAAAACTCTGGACGAGGAGTGAATGGACAGGCCCATGGACAGGCCCGCAGCGGTTGGGAGCCCTGGCTGAGTGTTTATAGCATCTCTCCAGCCCTAAAATGCTCTGTGGTTTTGTTTATTTTATTTTAACTTTTGTGGTTCTGGGGATTGAACCTGGGGCCTTGTGCATGTGAGGCAAGCACTCTATCAACTGAGCTATATCCCCAGTTCAAAATGCTCTGATTTTAAGTATTAAGTGGTCCAGAGTGCTTTAACTTTTACACTCAATATGTACTCTAACAATTTCAATACATCTTATTCTTGTTCTGAGCTTATATTTCTGTTGCAGGAGACGGGAAGGTGAACTTCTCTGACTTCATAAAGGTGCTAACAGATAAGAACCGCTTCCTCAAAGCTGTTGGTGAGCAGAGGTGTTCCTGACAGGTGTTCCTGAATAGATGGCAGTTGGGTAGCTACAGCCCACTACATGTAAACATTATTCATTTAGGCCTCCAATGTGGAGACAAATCAGAAAGCTGTACTTTGAGGATATGATTTATTTTTGTACTGCTTTGCTAAACAAATTGATACTTTAAGGGTTTTTTTTGCTATTTTCTTTTCTTTCTTTCTTTTTTCTTCTTCTCCTTTTTTTTTTTTTTTTTTTTTTGGTGTGTGTGTGTGTGTGTGTGTGTGTTGGTGGTGGTGGTCATCTGGTACTGGGGATTGAACCAGGGGTGCTGTGCCACTGAGTTATACCTCCAGTTTTTATTTTTCATTCTAGAAAAATTCTCACTAAGTTGCCCAAGGCTGGCTTCAAACTTGGAATTCTCTTGCCTCAGCCTTCCACTTATAGATTATAGATGTGCAGCACCATGCCCAAACCCAGTTTTAGAATTTTAATTTAAATAATCATGCAGGTACTGGTATTGTCTAAAGACCTACTTCACGTGATACTGCCCTTTAGTTTCCAATGAGAACCTTCAGGAAGTAACAAGGGCAGAAAATTTTAGTCTCATTTCATAGTGTTTTAATTACTTACTGAGGATGTGCACTACTTTCAGAGGCATTCCTTTTACAAAAAGAAAAAAAAAAAACATTTCTTTAGAAAAAGAAACATGCTCTCATGAAGATTTGGGGCATAGATAATAGGGTCTTTTATATGCTTGCTTGTTTTACTTTTTAGTACTAGGGATTAAACCCAGAGTACTTTACCACTAAGCTACATCCCCAGTTTTGGGTTTTGTTGTTGTTGTTGTTTTGTTTTGTTTTGCTAAGTTGCTGAGGTTGATCTCAAATTTATGATCCTCAAAGTTGCTGGGGTTACATACATGTGCCACAGTGCCTGGCTGATAATATACTGTTCTTAAAAAAAAAAAATACCTCTTTTATGGGGGTAGGAAAGATGGTAGAATGATGTAAACATCATTACCATAGGCACATTTATGATTGCACGGTGGTACATCTCTACTTCATGAAGAACCAGAGAATTGAAATGCTGCGCCCCATTTATGTATAATGAATTGATATGCATTCTGCTGTCACGTTCAACTAAGTAGAACAAATAAAAAAATAATAAATTTTTAAATATACCTCTTAGCTAGGCATGGTGGCACATGCCTGCAATCCCAGCAGGTCTGAGGCAAGAGGATGGCAAGTTTAAGGCCATCCTTATCAACTTATGATACCTCGTCTCAAAGGAAAAAATAAAAAAAGGCTGTGGATATAGCTTAGTGGTTACGCACCCTAGGTTCACTGGTACCAAAAAAAAAAAAAAGAAAGAAAGAAAGAAAGAAAAGAAAAAGTATATCTTCACTCTGATGATGCTTCTACCCTTGTGAAAGTCTGCTTGGGGTTAAAGAGCATTTTCTCACACAAGGCTATACATGCTCTATTGGTATACTTGAAATATTGTTATTTGTACTCTCACGGTTTGTTTAGGAACTTAACAACCTTCTTTGGAAAATCTAATCACTTTTCATATCTTGTTTTCTAGGATAAGTACATTCCAAATTCCAAATATTGCACACAGTTTTGAAAACAGGCCCATTCGTAAATTATGAATTGTCCTTAAGATAAAGAGTTAAGATAAAGATAAAAGTTACTGTTTGCAAATACTTTGATAGTAGTGGGAGTTTTCCTGCAAACCAGAGATAAATTTATCAAAAAATTCTTTGCCTAGAAGAACAAGACAGTAGTTCATAGCATACAGTTCATGCTTATGTTGAAAGTATTACTGTATTTACTTAGAAGTCATTGAACTAAAAAGTATTTTTATATTTGGGGATTACTCTGGTCAAGTAATCAAAATTAACTTTCTACCAATTAGAACAAAATTTTAATGATTACTATATCTCTAATCCCTTACTTGATGTTATTATAAGAAATACTCAGTAAAAAGATTATCTGTAGGGCTGGGGTTGTGGCTCAGTGGTAGAGTGCTTGCCTAGCATGTGTGAGTCACTGGATTCTGATTCTAGGCATTTATTTACATATTTATTTATTTACATATTCAATTTATTTACATATAAATAAACAAATAAAGGTCCATTGACAGCTAAAAAATATTTTTTAAAAAAGATTATCTATTATATTACTTTTTGATGAATGATTTGTTCAGAATGCATTTTGAAATCTGTTTCCTTTTCCATAGTTCCAGAAAAGGAAACCTATTTAGATTTAACTGACAACCCGGGGATCCTATTATTTGAAATCCTATCAAAGCTTGTAGAGACTTCAGCCCTACCCAGAAAGGCTATAATGGAAATAGTAAGGTAAGTGTCAAGGAAAGAGACAAAAGAACAACCTTCTCAGAAGCACTTATAAGGATATCTTACTAACATCCTACTCCACGAGGTCTGGCCCAAAACATAGGAGAAAGGTATCAAAGCAAATGGTCATGTGCCACAACATTTCTACCTAGCTCTGAAATTCAAAGGCTGAGCTCAGACAAACCAGGACCCTGCTGTGGGCTTAAGACATCCAAAAAAGTTCAGCCTCCCCTACCTAATACCAGAGAATCCCAGAAGAATAAGACTTATTCAGGGATGATTTTTTTTTTTTTTTTTTTTGGTACTGGGAATTTAAACCAGCGGTGCTTTACCACTGAGCTCCATCCCCAGCCCTTTTCATTTTGAGACAGAGTCTTGCTAAGTTGGTTAGGGTCTCACTAAATTACAGAAGCTGGACTTAAATTTACCATCTTCCTATCTCAGCCTACAGATTTGCTGAGATTTAAGGTGTGCAGAAATGATTTAAAATGGCTTCAAAATCCAGTGGGGAATACAAGACACTCCCATACCCACTAGACTTTGAGAGGTGTAGTAAGTTCAGATTTCCCAACATACTGCATGGGGCCAGAATTAGAATTGAGTATAAAGGATGAGAAGAAAACATTCTCACAGGCAAGTGAAATAATTTATTCCAGCAAATAGCACTAAAACCAAATTTCTTCAATCTATTTTTATCATTGTATTATAGAAATTAAATGTTCCCATTATCAATATGTTAAATTCACATTCTACAAAGTTTTCTGGTATCATACTTAAGACTTAAAATTCAGAATGCTACCAAAAAAGGGTAAAAATATTCTTATGCCTCTAAATAGGTAACCTGTATTATCCTCTCTCTTCATCAGATGTTGAACAGAGAAGGGTGCACAAAATTCTACTTTTCATTTCATTCAAGTTCAAAGATCTTTTTTTGTGTGTGTGGGAGGATACTGGGGATTAAACTCAGGGATACTCTAGCTCTGAGCTATATCCCCAGCCCTTTTCTATTTTGAGTCAGGTTCTCCCTAAGTTGTCCAGGCTGGCCTGGAACTTGCAGTACTCTTGCCTCAGCCTCCTGAATGGCTAGGATTACAGACATGTGCCACGGCACCTGGTATTATTAATTTAATTTAGTTATTTAGAGATAATTTTATATATATATATATATATATATATATATATATATATATATTAAATTTCTGCTGTTGGTACACAAATTTGGCACTTAATCTCTCAGCCTCAATTTCCTCATCCATAAAATTAGGAAGATAATAATACCTGCCTTAAAGGGAAGTTGTGGGAACGATATGTGAAAACACATGATATGTGAAGTGCTTAGCACATTACAAAGTTCCATAAATGTCATATTATGTGGAAATAATTACATTAAGCATAGAATATACATATCATTGATTTTAAACCCTTGCCTCCCTAATGAGAATATACTATCATCCCAATTTTTATAATGAAAAAACAGCCAGGCGCAGTGGTGCACACCTATAATCCCAGCAACTCAGGAGGCTAAGGCAAGAGGACCAAAAATTCAAAACCAACCTCAGCAACTTAATGAGGCCCTATGCAACTTAGCAAGAATCTGTCTCAAAAGAAAAAAAATTAAAAGAGCTAGGGATGTGGCTAAGTGGTTAAACACCTCTGAGTTCAGTCCCTGGTGTGATAAAACAAACCCTGAAGTATAGGCCAGTTAAATAACTTGCCCAGGAGAAAGTGATGCTTGGATTTTAGCATCCTGATTAGGAAACCAAGCTTTTTTTCTATTCCCTATGCTTCCTCTCACACCCAGTAAGTATAGAGGAAATGTTAGCCTATGTTAGTGTTTTTATTGAAATTGGATTGGGGTTGTTATTTATCTGGTTATCTAATTTGGTTGTTAATTATGTGATCATCTCTTTATTGTCTGGTTCCTAAGGAGATTGAAATTGTTTAAAACAATGCCTAAGGGGAAACTTAGAAAGGAAACTCCAATCAGACATCACCAACATGGACCACAGCTGAAGAAACTAGATGGACATTACACTAAAGCATCCATCTAGAACCACAGTCAACATAGTATATTCAATTGACAGACACTTCAGCACATAGCACCAGCAAAAAAGTCTTACTACAAAGCCACTCTACAAAATTGGTAGAGACAACTGCCTTGCCAGATTCACCAGAAGCATAAAAGATAAGGTAACATGACACCTCCAAAGAAACACAATAACTCTTTAGCAATAGGCCTCAAAGAAAAGGAAATGAATGAGCTGCCTGACAATTCAAAAGAATGAATTTCAGAAAACAATGAAATTGTAGAATACAACAGTTACTAATATGGCATTATGTAAAAATGTGGATGTGTAACCGATGTGATTCTGCAATCTGTATTTGGGGTAAAAATGGGATTTCATAACCAACTTGAATCTAATGTATGAAATATGATATGTCAAGAGCTTTGTAATGGAAGATGGCGGCGAGGGGAGTGCATTGCCCCCGTGTGCTGCTTCACTGTGTGGGAGTATGACAAGTCAGGACGGCTAAAGGCTATCTTGTTAGGAATTTCCAGCAATAGTGGGGTGCTCCGGAACCTGGAGGAAGGATTTCCATCGCACGAGGATCGGCTACGGGGACTCAAACGCGAGAGGTTTGTCGCACGGAGGGTAACACTGCTTATTCAGCAAATCGCCCCGCGGCTAGAGTCTGCAGCGCACGCTGGGAAATGAGGAGATAGCGACACAGGGATACAGCGCTGCAGTTTCTGCCAGCCGTGCAAGCACCGTACTCAGGGCTGAATTCTTGGTTCGAGACGGGGGAAGGAAGCGGTCCATCTCGGTTCTCCACACCGGTCAGACCACAGAGGAGGCCAGCAGCCACCATGTTGGAAAGCTGATGTCACCATCCCTATTTTCGACTGACCGCAGCTCATTCAGCCATAGAACAGGTAATTTCAGGCTGCCATTCGCCTGCGGCTTGCAGACGGATTGCTAGGGTTCAGTGCCTGGGTGCTTCTTAGAACCTGATCTTATCGGAGCGAACACCGAGCGCGGGGTGGCCGAGTTCCGGCTCCCGGAACCGCCCTGGCCCAGGGCTGGGGAGCCTGCGGAGGCTGCTTCTTGGACCCTGCTCCTATCAGAGCATACACCAAGCACTAAGCGGCCGAATTCCGGCTCCCGGAACTGAGCCCGTGGGGACTGCTTCTTGGAGCCTACTCTTATCGGAGCTTACACCGAGCACGGAGCGGCCGAGTTCCGGCTCCCGGAACTGCCCTGGCCCAGGGCTAGGAGCCCACGGAAACTGCTTCTCGGTCCGGGTCCTGCTGAGGGCCGGTCAGGACTCACCCGTTGCTTTGGTTGCCCGGCAAGGGGAACGAAATGCTGCCATTCGCATAGGATACCAACATGGCAGAGATCTGATGTCATCAGAAAGCGGCGGAGGAGAGAACTTCATCAATACCAGCGGCGACAGAAACAGTTGGTCTCCTGGTAGGGGGGGTGAGGCACAGACACCCGAGTCTCCTCAATTTGTCGTCAAGCCAGAGGGGAGGAGCCGGGCTGCCACCAGCGCCCGGAGCAGGTCCAGCGGCTCGCCAGCGTGGTGACCGCGTGACCCCAATTGGAGAGGGGGCGGAGCGGAGCCGCCACCCGCACCCGCAGGGTGGGCAGACCCGCGACCCAGTGGTACATGGGCGTGGTAGGAGGGCAGGGCAGAGCCGCCGCCCGCGCTTGCAAGGTAAACAGACCTGTGACAGATTGGCGGGTCAGGCCCAGTGGCCTGCCAGTGTGGTACACACGTCACCCCAACTGGAGTAGGGGCAGAGCAGATCCTTCTCCCACGCCCGGATCAGGTCCTGCTGGTGTGGTGGCCACGTGACCCCAATTGGAGTGGGGGCGGAGCGGAACCGCCACCCATGCCCGCAGGGTGAGCAGACCTGTGACCAACCTGCAGATCAGGCCCAGGGGTCCGCAGGCGTGGTAGGAGGGGCAGGGCAGATCCGCCGCCCGCGCCTCCAAGGTAGGCAGACCTGCGACAGACCGGCGGATCAGGCCCAGGAGCCTGCCGGTGTGGTACACACACCACCCTAATTGGAGTAGGGGCAGAGCAGAGTCACCGCCCGTGCCAGGAACAGGCCCAGCGACCTGCAGGCAGGGTAGTCACGACACCCCAATTGGAGTAGGGGCAGAGCAGAGCCGCCACCGATGCCCGAAAGGTGGGCAGATCTGCGACCGACCAGCGGGACAGGCCCAGTGGCCTGCCGGTACGACAGACACGTCACCCCATTTGGAGTAGGGGCAGAGTAGAGCCGCTGCCCGCGCCTGCAGGGTAGGCAAACCTGCAACTGACCGGCGGATCAGGCCCGGTGGCCTGCCGGCGTGGTACACTCGTCACCCCAATTGGAGTAGGGGCAGAACAGAGCCGCCGCCAGGACCCAGAACAGGCCCAGTGACCTGCCGGTGTGGTAGCCACGACACCCCAATTGGAATAAGGAGAGAGCAGAGCCGCCGCCCGCGCCTGCAGGAAAGATACGCAAGCAGTATGAAAAGACAAGGAAAGAAAGGACCACAAGCAATGCAGGTCAACGCAACTTTAGAAGAGGTAACAGCTGCAGCAGATGGAATGTCAGATAAAGAATTCAGGATATACATGCTTCAGATGATCTGGAGTATCAAGGAAGACATTAGACAGCAAAATCAGACAATGAAAGATCACTTCGACAATGAATTACACAAACAAATCCAGGAAGCAAAGGATCAACTATACAGGGAGATAGAGGTTATAAAAAACAAACAAACAGAAATCCTAGAAATGCAGGAAGCAATAAACCAACTTAAAAACTCAATGGAAAATACTACCAGCAGAGTAGAACACTTAGAAGATAGAACATCAGACAATGAAGACAAAGTATTTCAACTGGAAAAGAACATAGACAGCTCAGCAAGACTGTTAAGAAACCATGAGCAGAACATCCAAGAAATATGGGATAACATTAAGAGACCAAACTTAAGAGTCAT